AGAACTTCTCTTTCCCATCACCCCCACCTCTTGAGAATTCGCACAGGTAACTGATTGTCACTAAATGAATAGAATGATGGAGTAGCTAGGCATAGTTTTTCTTATGTTCTTAAGAATGGTAATTGGAAATTAACTTTATGGGGCAAAGAGACTGAGGAATTTTTCTTTTCTTTTTTTAAGACTGTAAAAACTGTTAAAGAGTTCCATACATTCTCTAACCCTCCCTTTTGTATAATCTGCTACCTGCAGCTATATGGGAGAAAGTAAAAGGAGAAAATAAATTTATGGAGCTTAATTAAATCCTTTGTTCTGCCAAAACCAATAAACTTCTGCAGAAGTTAAAAATGTCAGTTTGGGGTAGTAAAAAGAGCTACTGTGCAAAATACTAGGTTTTTCACAGGGAGTACTTTCTGCCCTTCCTCCTCTTTCTTAAAACTTTCACTGCAAGCAAGTTTCCAGCAATGGGTATATAGTGGTAGAGAGCAGTCTATAATCGAAAAGATATAATTATTGTCAATCTGCTAAAGGAGTCAGTGCTAAGGTCTACTAGTCAATGCAAACTCTGACTGAAGAAGCAGGCTAAGGTAAGGGCAGATAATGGCACTGGTGGTGCTTAACTCAAAACATTTAGGACATAGCTCCAATTACTGAGGTACCTGCCCAGGTATGCTTAATAACAATGCCCATGAAGTTTGGCAGATTATAGCTCCTTTGCTCTTCAACTGACGAGTGGCACCAACTGCACGCAACTTCTGACATCAGACCTTTTGTGCTGACATTTTAATTCTGTAGCAGTTAATACAGTCATGAACATTTCAAGACACTATTCTATCCTGGCCGATGGCCACAGGAGGGGTACTCATTTCTTACTGCAAGGCTCGCATATCATCACAGCAGTTCCAGTAACTAGGAGAAAATCAATATGGCAGCCTTTCTCAACATCCTATTTTGTTCTTTCTTTAGCTTCCTATGACCTGTGTGCAGGATGAATTCAGAATACACTAGTGGGATCAGCAACAAAGCATTGCTATGTAGAGTGCTCTTGTCCTGAGATCTAGCCAGTCATGCCCTCATCCAAAATATTCCATACTATTTCCCTTCCTCTTTTTTCTTCCCCCCTTCAGCCAGTATTCCCTAACCATTAAAGCTATTCTTGGTCACACAAGTAGACTTCCCCTTCCTCTCGTTACCACTAAAACTCTACATCTGCTCAAGGTTCTTCCGTCCCTTAAAAGCAGTTTTTTTGGGGATGCACAGGAAAAAAGGAATATTTCTTCCACCAGCAGTTATCTGTTCTAATGCTGGAAAGACAACATCAGATCAGACAAAGACTCTGTGGTTCCTATGTCTGAAAATTAGGTAGACTACTTGGGATAGCATCCCCCCTGAAAGACCAGGTACATAATCAACAGGTACTCTTAGATTCAAAGCTTCTAAGAGACTTTGGTGGTCACAGGTGCTCTTTGCCTCATTGACACATGGTTTGAAAACCTCCCAGATGTGGCTTCCCTTGAAGACGGTCCAGGAATTGCAGCTAGTGCAGAGTGCTGCTGCTCTCTGGATAGCAAGGAAGGACTATATTACAGTCATCCTGAAAGCTTGGAATTGGCTGGCAGTGAACTACTGGGCACAGTTCAAGGTGTTGGTACAAATGTACCAAACCATAATGGTTCAGGGCCGAAATACATGAAGGACCTCTATGCCAACCTACCCGAGATCAGCTAAGGAAGTGCTGCTGGTGGAGCCCCGGGAGCACAACTTCTGGGCTAACAAGTAAAGCAGGGCCTCCTTTGTTTCTATTCTCAGGCTCTCTCCCTGTAGATACTTGACTGGTCTCTATATTGTTTGCATTTAAACATCAGTTAAAAATATATGAGCTTTTGCTGACTTTTAGAACAGTGAAAGACAATGATACATACCTAAATCTGCTGGTGCTTAATTAAAGGAGCAGAGTAGGTTTTTGGAGTTCTCTGTTATTTATGTGATTTTTGTCTGAGTTTTTAGGATTGGTTTTAACAATGCTTTCTTACTGAAATTGTTCTCTGCAAAGATTCTTTAAAGAGGAAGTACAGGCCACAAGAATTATAAATAAATAACTCCAACTGATCTCATAAGCGGTCCAATTTTCAAAGTTTTCCACTAGTATCTACAATCAGAGCTAGCTCATATGCCTTTTTAAGGGCAGATTTAGGACATCCCAGGCTGCAAAACACATATAATGCATCTGTGGAGAAGAGCACTCTATAGCAGATCTAGAACACCTACTGATACTGAGCTTTTTTAACAGATCTCAGCGGAAAGTGATGTACCAGATGGCTTTGTGAGTCCTATTGCATATCCATATGGAAGTAAGGCAGAAGTGCAGCTGGAAGCCCATGACCCTGAAATCGCAATATCAACAGAACTTCTTGATACTGCTTAGTATTGATAATGAAATTCCTGTTTTCACATAAAAGAAATTTAAGGTTAAATTTTAGTCACAAATCTGTCCTTTTATTTTTCTGAGCCATACTGTTAGGCAACATAGTTTCATATCAATATTTACTTTCATGCAAGGATGAGTTTGATTTTAATTAGCAAAGATACCAAAATAGCAGTGTGTTAAGCAAGAAAATGGAAACTGGTAGTATTCTATTCCTTCTGCTAAAGCAATTTATGTTTTACTGCTGCAAAGTTCTCTGTTCTGTGTCATGGTTATTTTAATTCTGGAGGAGTTAGAGAGAAGAAGAGGCCTCTGTTATTCATAAAGTGAATGCTGTTATTTGACAATATTGCAGTTTAATGATTTTATTATTGGAAATAAATTATATAAATCAATGCAGCATTAATTACTTTTGTAGGTACAAAAAATATCAACATAGGGGTTTTTTTTTGTTTTGCTCTTTTGGTTTAAAATGTAAAAAACCCTCTAGGGGCCCAACAATACTCTAGTTATCTTTTCTAGTTAAACCAAATTCCTTTTATTCTGCTAGGCATGCTTTTATTACTTCAGTGACTCAGAATATATAATCAACACCTGCCTTTTCAAATCAATCATTTTGGAAAGATTAAGTATGCTGTGAAAGAATGACACTTCCCATATATTTTCTTTACTGCATATAATGAACTTCTCCAAATTGTATTTTTTCATGGCTATCTCATTTTACTTCCAACTTATTATATTAGGATGATCGTAGTTTATAAAAATGAAGATAACTTGCTCAAAGGTGGAAGTTGGGGGAAGCACTGTCACTTAAAAGTCTTGAAGCTACAAATCTTAAGTCCACTATATCTGGGGGTGTTTCCAGATGGAGTACTACTTGCACCACTAGTCAAAAGAGATCTTGCAATTATTCTATATTTTCCTCCTTAACATAGTTTTTGCGGTAACAAGGAAGTGGCAGAAAAACACAGGCTACTTTCAAACTGAAGATGACATGATCCTAACCCCCACTAAAATTAATTTAATGGCATTTGAGAACCAGTAGGGTATACTGATTAGAATGTTGGATTAAAACTTGGGAAGTCCTAGTCCCCATAAAGCTATGAAGCTCACTGCAGACTTTGGGCCAGTTACTCTCAGTCTAACCTACCTTGCATTATAGAATGACTGCATTATAAAAAGCAGAAACCCTGAAAGCAAGCACTATTTATTTATTTAAAGCATTTGTATACTGACCAGAGGTGCCACAGCGTGGCTTATTGTCCACACTCTGGACAGTGTGGCTTATTTTTCAGTAAACATGGATTAATTGTATGAATTTTAGTTAATAAATTATTAAATTTACATTTAAATACGTTTAGAAAATACATTTATAAACAAAAATATGTGTGCTTTAGCACTTGTTATCTGCATCCATTGTGGCATGCTGTATTTGGAGTCTGAGATGGGCCCTCTGCTAGTCTACAGGCCTCAACATATACCCATTTGTACCATACTCCTGAGCAAGCAAGCTTAGCATCTGGGCATAAGACTCCATCTCAAAAGGAGCTCCAGAGCTTGGGAAAGTGATTTTTTTCTCCCCTTAGAGCTGCCACCAGGACAGGATAGGCATGCACACAATTATGCATTATTTTAGAATCCTCTCACATTGTATTAGAACCTAATGAGATCATCCCATTAAGCTAATGGGTCAAAATTTCAGGATGCACCAAAGGAAGTCCTTCTTCAAACAGTGCCTTTGGAACTGTTAAACTTTGGTGATGGTCATCAATTTGGTCGGGTTCAGCGGACAAATACATGGAGAAGGCAGCTATCAAATGTTACTAGTCCTGATGGCTATATGCTATCTCTAATATCAAAGGCTGTATGCCCATGCAAATGCAGAGGATGCATTTGCTGCTGCAAATTTGATGCATTTGATGCATCCTGCTTCTGGGTTTCCTGGGTGGAACTGGTTTATTTATTTAAAACTTTTATACCCCATCCAGCGCTTTGGCTTACAACCAAAAACAATAAAACAGCAAAACAACTGGTTGGCCACCATCTAAACAGGCTATTGAATTGGAGGGTGCAAGAGCTGATCCAGCAGGGCTCTTTCTATGCTCTTAATCATTCTCCCTATACGTCTGAATGGATGTCTTGAGCTCTCATCTGAATCCAGTGGTCAGAACTTCCATAAATACTTTGCGCTCCTTTAAAAAGTTGCATTAAAGTAAAAGCACAGATTTCGAGAGCGGGGTGCAGAAGCAACTGCATGGGCCCGTGGTCTGTTCTAGCACGACTCTCAGGCTCTCGTACCTCGCTGCTGCGTGAGGGAAGCAACCCCACGAGGAGAGCCCGCGTTCGCGCGATGGACCTCGGTCTGGCCCGGCCCGGCCCGGCCCGGCCCGGCCGGCCTTGCGCCGTTGCGAGGAGCCGCGCCGCTCAGGCCGGCGCTCCGACCTGGCTGCTGAGGCGCTGTGGGCGGGGATGGGAAGCAAACAAGGCGACGGCGCTCATTTCCCGCCCCGTTACTCGGCCGGACTGAGGGGAAACTTCTGCGGTGGCGGCGCCAGCGCCAGGCAGCGGGGACGGGGCCATGGCGGGCGCGGCGGGCGGCGGCGGCGGCCGCGCGGGGCTTTGCCCCCCGGGCGGCCTGGAGCAGCTGGAGCTGGGGCGGCTGCGGGACCCGTCGGGCGGCCGCGGCTCTTCCTGCTCGCCGTCGCCGCCGCTTTCCTCTTGCTCGAGACAGGCCTGGAGCCGCGACAACCCCGGCTTTGAGCCCGAGGAGGACGAGGCGGCCCGGGCGGCGGCGGCCGCGGCGGCGGGGCCGGTGCTGCAGATGGACGTGGAGTGGGGCCGCGGCGGGGCAGCCTCGCCCTCGCTGTCGTCCGGGGGCCCCAGCGGCGACAGCGGGAGGCAGCGGCGGCACAGGCGGCGCGGGGAGAAGGAGGAGGAAGGCGGCGGCGGAGGAAGGGACGCGGACCGCGCGTACCCCGCGGCCGGCGCAGGAGGCGACGCGCTGCCCTCGCATTTCCCGCCGCACGAGGCGGACGGCGAGCCCGCGGAGCCGCCGCCCCACCGCGTCGCCTGGGCCAAGGGGCTGGCGCGCCGCCTGCGAGGTGAGTCGCCGCTCGCCCGGGCCCTCCTCGGTCTCCTCCTCCCGCGGCTGGGGAGGCCCCTCGGCGTCTGCAGCGGGCAGTATCCCCAGCAGGGCCAACCAACATGTCCTGAAGGAGCTCGTCCCGCCCCCGCTTCGGCCCGTTAATTAATGGCTCGGCGGCTCGTCTGCCTTCTCCCGAGCTGGTTTTCGCAAAAATTTTCCGTTTCTGTGGCATGCCTTCAAGCCAGCAGGAGCGATCGGGGAGTATACAGAGCAGAGAGAGCTGCATAGCGTGAGAGTAATGACAGTAATGCTGGAAAGCAGCAACAGCACCTGAAATCCACGCCTGGGCAATGCGCTCATTAGGACTGACCAACATGTTTACCGGAAGCTTCATGAGGCTGGATGGTACAGCCAGGGGATGGGACAGAAACAACAAAGTCCCAAAATTAAACCAGGCTTGGGGTCTGAAGAGCAGACCTCATTACCACGACATCTGATCTAATTTTTGGACTTTGTCGAGCGGGGGGGGGGCTGCCCATCCACTGATTTTGGTACCCCCTGCACTGATGAAGGATGCTGGAGAACTCAAAAAATCTGCAACAATACTTTGTGGTATTTCAGTTGCTTGAAGCGAATTTGCCCAGCTGATGATCTGAGTTTTTTCTTCCTTCCTTCCTTCCCTCCCTTTACTTCACTTTTACTTATTTTCACGAGTAAAATGAATAAGTATTCATTTCATCCATTTGAAATGTGACTGATAGATTGATCTATTTCTCTAACATTACAAATTCGCATCAAAACAATAACTTTGAAGCAAGAGACCTTTTTTTTCAGATGATGCATGCAGGTGTGCTAGAAGGTATTTATCTTAGAGGCAACACCTTTTGTGATAGGAAGGGGGGATGTTGCTTTGAGGCATTTTTAAAAATAAATACTAAAATACTTTTAAAACTAAAAAAAGTTAAGTTACTCAGAGGTGAGTTTTTTAGTAAATTAAATGTTTTTGAATTGCCTAATCTGATTAATCAAATATTACAGCCCTGATTCTTACCAGCATATTTTGGGGTTCATAATCTGACTCTCAGCTGAAGAGTTCTCAATCCAAGAACATTATTAAGAACCACTTACGTTTTAAAACATCAGGGAAAACATACAGAAGAAATCGTCAGTGTTAGCCTAGCAGTAGGAAGAACAATACAACCTAAACTAAATTCTATCATATTTGAGGTTTGGCCTCAAAAAACTGTGTGGACACACACACAAATGGGTACTGGAAGGTGTGAAATGACATGATTGAAAAGAGCTCCCAACTAGTGTGAAGTAAGGAGGATGACATATGTTATCCATGTGTGTGTGTGAGCTCTTCTGAAAGAGCCTGTTCAGAAAATCAGGTTAACACATGAAAGCAGAGTGTGAAGAAAATAGGTGCATCCACAGGCCCACATTCACTGGTGTAGTGAGTAGGACTGCAGCCTTGGGGTGGCTCAAGACCTTGTGCTGCCTGAGAACATTGTGACTTGTTTGATCCACGGTAATCATGCAAACTGATTGATTGTGTGAATCCAGCACAGCATCATACCCCTAAATTAGAGGTAAATTAATTTATGGTGGGCTGTTGTGTCATGCAAACCAGGTCACAGAATTTCCCTATAAGCATGTAATCAACCTACCTGTTTAACTGGTTTTCCTTTCTATTCCTTTACTGTTTCCTTTGTGTCAAAGTTTAAATTGTAAGCTCCTTGGGATAGGACCCTTCCTTCTTCTACACTGTTAAGCATCATGTATTGATGGTAATATTTAAGCACATACACTAAATATGAAAAAAGCTAAGAGTGAAATGGGGAAAAACCCTGCCTTCAAAAGTTCATATTGGAATATACTAGCTAGAATCTAGTATGTCACAGTACTATTTATTTTTTCCGCTACTGTGGACTAACATGGCTACACTTCTGGAATTTGTAGCTTGATAGTTATCCTGAACTGCAACAAATGAGCAAATACTGGTTGACCAGGCAACAGAAAGCTTAAAATGCACTCTGAAGGAGTTGGAGTTTGCAAATCTTGGCAGGGAATACTTAAAGCAAAAAAAAAAAGCTTCAAGAATCACATAATTCTTCCACTGACTCCCAGTAATAAAAATCTGAAGAATATTCTGTGATCCCTATTGTATTCACTTTTGACTTGGATCTATACCATATGAAACTTGTAAATGCATTTACAGTTCTATATGTAGATTCAAAGTAAAGCCTTTTTTCCTGGAAGCTTCCAAATAATACTGTTACTTTTAGTTTTGAATTTTAACACAGAGACTTTACATTAAAATAGCACTTGATGTTAGACTACTTTGGAAGAATACTAAGTGCAAGAGTAAGATTTAATGAATGTGGAAACAAATGGTTGCTGAGGAAAGATTATGGACAACTGTTACAAACCTGCTTGTATTCCATTGCTAACTTAAGCCAGCATGCTACTATTCACCAGGATATTGTTTTCTTCTTCACCTATGCACACCTATGGAAGAATACATTACATTGAACTAGTAGCATTTACTTCTGAATAAACAAATATCAGACTGGGATGCATGAGGAAAACTTAGATATTCAAGCTTTTAAAAGCACAAAGGATATTCTAAAACAGTTACAGTGACTCATCCTCCATCAAGAAAGTAATTGTTCAACTCCATTTTATTACTAGGGTATTTCAATTTTGCCTAGTCTAGTTTAGTGTTACTAAAATAAATTCATCCTGAGCATTGCATGGGAAGATAGGAAATGAAGGACAAGATATCTTTCAGTGAAATAATCTGTTTGAGAACTCTTGTTAGGGTTCCCTGGAATGCAGTTTGAAAACCAGTGATACAAAATGTATAATAGCTGGTGGCTGGAAATTCCTCATCATTGAGTGATATTCTTGATTGTTTAGCTGCCAGGTAGTAGATGTTCTTGAGTGTTAAAACAATATCAGGCAGATCTTTATTGGATTATGTAAATAGACATAAATCACAGCTCATACATATCAAATTAAAACCATAGCATTTTGGTCAAACTGTATAGGGAAAGGTAAATAAGGCAGTAGGGCACATTTCTTATGACTTCCTATTAATGCTTCTTTTGCAAGGTCTGTGGGGTACAAGGCTAATGGAAGAAAGCACAACCAGAGAGAAATACCTAAAAAGTGTTCTACGAGAACTAGTCACATACTTGATTTTTCTCCTGATCCTGTCTATCTGTAAGTACTCTTTGTGCTGATACTTTAATGTAATAGCCATGGTTATATTTATCAAGTGATTGAATTCAGTTTGAGTGGATTTTCAAGCCTTCCTTTTCCAAGGCTATGGTTATTCTTTCTAACTTTGGGTTGGCATTCTTACTTTCAAAGTGACTCAGATAGAATAGTTACACTGCAACCCAGTGGTTATTAGCTACAGTGGATTATAGCGCCCAGGGGTTCTCCCATCTGGAGCTTCTTCTTATAAGAACTCTAAGCTGGTCTGCAGTACAGTTCCCTGCAAAGTTTACTGATGCTAGAGATTGTAAAAATCAACAGTGGGTAAACTGGATCTGTGGTTCAGCTCAGTGCTTTGTAGCCCAGTTGGGGTATCTGCATTGCAGGCCAGTGTGCAAACCAATGGGCATGTATGTCCCTGATGATTCTCCTGTGTCCTGTCAGGTCCCATTAACAAACAGCATCCACGTGTTGCAGAACACAGTTTTAGCACTTTCAAGGGGAGCTGGAAATGAATTAAAGTGGTTGTTTTTGGGATGGGCTTGATTGGTGCATCTTTCATAAGTGAACTCTGATGACCTCAGGAACAAATATTTCTGCTAATTTTGCAGCTTCTTCCAGAAGGTGTTAAATTTCCATTGTGCAGGTGATCAGTCCCATTTGTGCAACAGAAAAGGAGTTAGCAGGAAAAAAAATACTACACAACACGCTAACCCACAGCAACCATTCAATCATCATTTGAATAAAAACAAATATAAAATCATATCCATCCCTGATGGGGATGCAGTTGATATATTAGATGCAGTTGATAAAAGGTGGTCCTGGCTACAGATGTCCCTTGGTGATTCAGGGACAACTCTGGATCCAGGAGAATCCCCAAAATCCAAACTGTGTCCTTTAGTGGGGGTGCAACCCTGTCCAGCACTGGGCAGATAGCCTCCCCACTCTGTCTTGTCTGGATTAAATTTCAATTTATTAGCCCTCATCCAGTCTGTTACCCTGATCAGACACGGTCTCACCTGGGTTAGATATAAACGAGAGGTAGAGCTGAGTGTCATCAGCATACTGATGACACTTCAGCACAAACCTATGGATAACCAGTTCCGGTGGTTTCATGTAGATCTTAAACAGCATGTGCCTGTGGCACTCCATGATATAACTGCCATGGGGCCGAGGTGCTATCCCCCATCAACACCATATGGAATCCACCAGCCAGGTAGAAGCGTAATCACTGCAAAGCAGTGCCTCCAACTCCCAGCTCAGCCAAGCTATCTGGAAGGGTACCATGGTTGATGGTATCAAAAGCTGCTGAAAGGTCCAGGAGAACCAACAGGGACACCACCTCCCCATCTTTCTCCTGGCAAAGGTCATCTCACTGTTTGACTAAGGCAATTCCTGCCCCAAAACCAGGTGTGAAACTGGACTGAAATGGATCCAGATGGTCTGTTCTCTCCAAGTGTGCCTGAAACTGCCCAGCTACCACCCGCCTGAGCATCTTGCCAAAGAAGGGAATGTTGGCCACAGGCCTATAGTTGTTAGCATCTTCTGGGTCCAGGTTTGCGTTCTTCAGGAGGCACCTAATCACCACCTCTTTTAGTGGAGCTTGGGCCAGCCCCTCTTTCAAAGAAGCATTCACAGTCACCTGGATCCAGGAACACACTCCCTCCTTGTCTTTGATGATCAGCTATGGGGCCAAGAATGCAGGTGGGCCAGATTGTACAAGAACTTTGTCCACATCATCAGGGCTCATGATTGAAACTTATCCAATAGAAGGGACCACATCAAATGTAGAGTCCAGTTCATGCTGCATCTGAGCACCTTTTATCCTCAAAGTACTACATAAAGTCATCACAGTGGGCCACCAAGGCTTCTCCTGATACTTTTTAGAGTCCATACATAAAAGGCCACAAATCACTCACAACAGCTTGACTGGACAGCACCAAGTGGACATGATTCTGGCAGAGAAGAAAGCTCTTTTTGTCACATTCACTACCATGGAGTAGACTCGATAACAAGCTCTTACCCATTTTTGGTCAGATTCACCCTGGGTTTTCCTCCACCCACACTCTAGCTTCATTGCCCACAATTGCTTCATTGCCCGCAGTTCTGCTATATACCATGAATGTGCACTTGGAAGTAAAAAAAAAAAAGGGACAGCCAGCTGTATAATATTTAATATAGTGTATAGCCCAGCTATTAAATGGATTGCATAAGAAGATGCAGCAGCATTATTTTATTTTTTTCTGTTTGTATTTTCTTAAGGAGAGAAACAAAAGAGAGATGCAAGAGTGTTAGAAAGAACAGGAAAAAGATGGACTTACACAGATAAAAATTCACAAGTAAATTCCATGTTGAGGGCTAAAATGAAAGGTGGGTCTGAAAAAGATGGAAGTTACTGTATTAACACACTTAACCTGATGGCAAATCAATTCTTTTTTCAGTGCTTCCCATAATGGGGCCAATTAAATGATGAAATGTCAGATGGAGAGAGGTTTTTAGCGTACAAAATCATGCCATAAAATAAGGCATAATTTCACACTAAGGTGGAGTGTGAAATTAGGAAGATTCAGGAACAAGTTTTTGGGGGACCAGCCCTCATTTTGGATCAGTTTAGGACCAAACTTAGATTCTCTCTGGAATTCTGGTAGAATCTATACTGTTCCATAAGACATTGCAACCAGCCATGAAAAGAGAAAAGCATAACATTTGCATATCTGCTGTATTATTACACAGTCAGAAAATATTGCTTTTAAATATTACATAATGCTTTATATCATAATGTTTGTGTTCTTTCAATAAGTTTGAAATTCCTCTTCTCAACTCGCATCTACAGTGTCTTACGGAACAATGAATTCTAGCATGTACTACTACACAAAGGTGATGTCACAACTCTTTCTAGACACACCACTATCAAAAATGGAGAAGACCAACTTCAAATCTTTGTCCACAATGGAAGACTTCTGGAAGGTACAGATTATAATTTGGTCTTGTGCAGTAATACAGTCAATAACATCCAGAGCATGTGGTTAGTGCACTAGCAAAAAGAATTAAGGGCAATTTTAGTTTGTCACTATTTTGAAAAAGGGTTATATGTTTAGGAGGACTCGTTCTAACCTTTCAAAGAAGCCAGTTGTGAATTTACTGCTAGACCATGTGCCTACAAGTATCACTATTAATCCCTTGTGGTACATTGATGACCAACCAGTGAACAAAACTAACGCTTCTCCTATGTACAAAAGCATCTATTTTCTGGTTGGCTGGAAACAGTTCTTAGCACTTATGTGCTCCATTAGCCCTGCTTTGACACCTCCCTGATCTGATGGGATTTGAGCCAGCAGAATAGGCCACATTGTTGAAGTCTAAGGAATGTGTACAAAATTAGGGCTTGCACTCCTCAGTTTGTGCAGATTATGTAAGTTTATGCAGATTTTGCACAAATTGCAGAGCAGAGGCCCAAATTTTGCACATATCTGAAATTAACTATCAGAAAATTCAAAGTGGGCAAGGTAAACCATGTGCATATGCAGTGGGAGGAAGATGCTTCCATACCTCTCTTGTTACAGTGATTGCAATGACTTGAATCTGAGGAGCTGACCCCAATAAGTGAAATTAGTGCACCTTTACATAATTTGTGTAAATTTATAGTTTTTGGCTTCCGCATTGTACAGATATTTTGAACAATTTCATAGAAGCCAGAAAAAAATTTAAAAAACAGTTTCAACTGCTTTTGGCCATCAGGTCAAAAATGTGTTGAAAATCCATCAGTCTCAGAATTAGTTTCCTGGTGTCCCCACCCTATGGCATCCTCATCTTCAGCTGATAAATGATCATTGTCTTATGAAAAAGAAATTTACAAGAAAATATAGGTAGCTGCAATCAGTGTTTCAATAGTAAAAAGTGTTTGAGTCATATTAGGAACAAAAGAAACAGTTAAGTGTATGTGTAATATATTATTGAGAAGTAAGTTAATGTCCATTATAAAAATCTGCAGAATTGTAACAGTATTTCATTCCCCCCAAACTGCCTTCTGTCTCAGTTCACTGAGGGCCCTTTGCTAGATGGACTATACTGGGAGATATGGTACAACAATAAAACAGTGGCAGAGAATAGAAGTTTCATCTACCACGAGAACCTGCTTTTGGGAGTACCTCGTATCCGACAACTGAAAGTGAGGAATGGTTCATGTTCAATTCCAGAAGATTTAAAAGATGAAATTAAGGATTGCTATGATGTTTACTCAGTGGGTAATGAAGATACTGCTCCATTTGGGCTCCGCAATGGAACTGCGTATGTATTTTCTCCACATACATATAGTTAATGGAATTTTCCTTTGGTCTGAGATAGATTTAGCCACTGTTTGGACCTGATATGAACCAGATTGAGAACTATAATTTCTGCTCTTGTCTCTTTGTAAAAGCATTCTGTTTTATTTGACATTTCTAAACTACTTCATTATTTCTGTGAACATGAAAGCTACCTTTATAAATTTGTGTTTTTGCTGAATTCATGTGTGTCCATATTTGCCACCACATTTTACTTTTGAGACAGGGAAGTAGGACTGAGAGAACTTTCCTAAACACATTCATTATTGTTCATCTCCAAAGTGATAAAACTGTGCTTGTAAAAATATGAACATAATAGTTCTATTGCATCTCTTCCTGTTACATTTTAGTTGGACTTACACCAGTGAAAAAGATTTGAATGGAAGTAGCCACTGGGGGCTGATTGCAACATACAGTGGAGCTGGTTATTACCAGGATCTTTCCAGAAATAAAGAGGAGACATCAGCATTGATTGCTAGTCTTAAGAAGAACTTGTGGCTTGACAGAGGCACCAGGGCAGTGTTTATTGATTTTTCAGTGTACAATGCAAATATCAATCTCTTCTGTATTATCAGGTGGGTCTGGAATTTTTTAATGTTAACACTGTTGTTACTTCTACACAGTAAATACAGACATTTACAACATTTTCATTTTGATGAGTTTCCTCTAAGAAGGATTAGCATTGGATACAGCCAATTCTACACATTTTTACTCAGAAATAAGTCTCACTGCATTGAGCAAAAGTTGGGTTCAGGCTCCACAATCTGTTTGGGCCTCTTTGTCTCTCCCTTGCCCTGATGAATTTAATAATAACTGTGGTGTTAGGACATGATCTTAATCAGGAAAAGGGCAAGAAGGGGAAAGGTTAATTACTGCCCCCTCATCCAGTGCCTCACCTTACCCTACATACCCCACTGTAAGTGAAGGACCTGGCTGCGGATCTGCGAGAGCACATGTAGTCTGGCCCTTAGCACCAAGAAGTATGCATAGGACTACAACCTAAAGCAGCTGTTACCTTGTTTTCTTTCTGGAGTTTTAATCGTGATGCATTTGATGTTGTTAAGGTATGAAGGATAAATGTCATTTTTGATGAAAAGATACTTTGGTCTGTCATTTGAAGAACTTTTGAGCTCTACAATCTAAAATTTTGCAGCTTTCTTCATAAGCAAATTAAGATGCAGTCCTATGGCTTCCTGATCATCTGGGAGCCCATGGGACTCTGCAAAATGTCAGCTCCAAGATTTTGGAGCTGGGGTTCCAAAAGCCAAGCCCCACCCTCCTCCCCTCACAGACAGTGTAGATAGAGCTGTAATGACTGCTCACTCCACTCACATTTCAACTTTGGAGAGGGCAGAAGGGGGCATGCCAGGAGGAGAGAAGGCTTGGTCTGAGCACTTATCCCAATTCCTATTGGTGCCTTGGTGTCCTTCCCTCCCCTTCCCTGGTATTTGTATGTAGATGCCCAAAAACAGTTATCTAGATAAAATACAGGATGCTAGCTAAAGCGACAACAGAAATCTCTGCTTTTGCATCTCACTCCTGCCCTTGGATACTGATCAGCTTCTGAATTCAGAGGCTTATGTTCAACCATAAAGATCTTCCTTTGAGCAGTCCTTGCTTAATAAAACGAGGGCTGGGTAGGGCTGGGTTTATAGTTCTACTCTAGCGTGATGCATGCTAGATCTTAGGCAGGACTGTCTCTCTCAGGCTATAAGCTCTGGATGGGGAGAGAGGAGGGCATACATCAATTTCAAATGATGCAATAGCGTTCTGGGAAAATGGGAGCATCATGCTTACCTGTAAATTATGTAGAACAGTCTTACACGGATTTTTTCAAATAATTAAAACTTATGAAAATATTACCATAGATGGTCTCAAGGATAACCTTTAAAAGGGATGCGAGACACATTTTCAAAACCTTTTGCTTTGTGTAGTATTTCCCTACTATAAAACTGATACTCCATCCTTCAGTAATACAAAACAGAAAAATTTGAAATGACTTACATTGATTGAAAGCAACAGCTAAGCAGCAAGACATTAATAGTGCTAATGATTACCAATTCATTCCCCTGCCCCCCCTCCCCAAATTGCAGGTTACTGGCAGAGTTCCCACCAACAGGAGGGCTCCTCACATCTTGGCAATTCCAGCCATTGAAGCTGATCCACTACATTTCTCCTTTTGACTTCTTCCTGGCCGCATGTGAAATTGTTTTTTGCCTCTTTATTATTTACTACATGGTGGAAGAAATCCTAGAAATTCACTTTCACAGGCTGTTCTATTTCAGAAATCTTTGGAATTGTCTAGATGTTCTCATTATTGTGGTAAGTGAAATTTCATGAATATGACCTTTTTGGTACTGTCACTGTTACTCTTCAAAAGGTATTTAGGGACCCATGAAGGCAGGGCTGTAATACTGTTTCTGATGGGCTCAGTCTGTGAGAAATTACTCTAGTGATTTCCCAATGCACAGAAAGGTAACTTGCTTACCTATCTTTTAGAACCATTGTTGCTTCCTGTTGTTTTTGGAAAAAGCACCCTAAAGCTGCAACTTCCTGCCATCTCAAGCAGTTGCAGGGCACTTAATGATGCAAGTGGAGGAGGAGAACACAGTGGCAGCAATGGAACAGCTAGCCGAATGTCGGTAGCATAGTGCTGTTGAATTCCCTGCTGAGCTGCAATTACATTCACATTAATGTTAATTAATGCTATTGAATCCTTTTACAAGATCTCTCTCTGCCTGTTGTCCAAAGAATAACTTATTCTACTGATAGTACCCTAAGTGCTTTCTTCTGGATAGGCTTGACACTAGAAGGAGCATTAAATCTCAGTAGCCAAAACTTAAAGAACTGCAGCAGACTTACATGGTGAGTTGAAAAACATTCTCTGTTATGTTCTGTTATATATTATTCATGCATTGTTTTTCTACACTCAGCTATCACTGGCAGCTATAGGAATTAATATATATCGAACATCTACTGTGGATAGGTTATTGAAGGAACTGCTTGAAAATCAAAATAGCTTCCCCAATTTTGATCCTCTAGCATACTGGCAAATACAGTTCAACAACATTGCAGCAGTCACCATGTTTTTCGTCTGGATGAAGGTAACTCATTGTTATATTTCAAGAAAATGAATGCAGTTCTTTTTTAAGTCATTGATATTTGTGCCTGAAAAAACTATACTCCAAATCTGTCCACATTTTATTCATTTCAATGTGCACCATTCCTTGCTTTAACAACCAGAGCAAGAATTAGAACATTCTACACCAAGGCAAAATCAACCAAACCCAATTAAGTTCAAAATTGTATGCATGCTGCCAAGTTACTTGCTTCTTTTTTTAACCACATAGCTTGCTTATACTGTACCCACAGCTGATTTCTACACTTCTTCTATTTTAAGAAGTATTACTGATTGTGGAGAACAATTCCTAAAAAGGAATAGAAAATTCAGTTCCTGAAAACCAATATGGTTCTTGTCATGAGATAATAAAACCTATAAACAAAGGCTTTAATCTTAAATCCAATTTATAATACAGTGAATAAAGATGGTGTATAAAGTGACTTTTAAAAGTCCGCAGTTAAGCTAGAGCCCTGTTTGCACATAGAATAAATCATGGTATGATATGTTCCCTTCTACTCCCACTACCAGGGAGTTTCTTAAATATTTTTCTCTTCTTCAACAGCTCTTTAAATTTGTCAGCTTCAATCGAACAATGAGCCAGTTATCTTCCACAATGTCACGATGTGCCAAAGATGTTCTTGGCTTTGCCATTATGTTTTTCATCATTTTCTTAGCCTATGCTCAGTTAGCCTATCTTGTGTTTGGCACACAAGTTGATGACTTCAGTACCTTCCAGGCCAGTGTGTAAGTACAATAATAAAATGTTTTCAAAGCCATCTGTGAATTAGCACTCCTGCAAGCTTCAAATACAGGTGCTTGCATTGAATTCATAGTTAAAAATCTATAGGGTTCAGTGAATTATGGATGTTTCATAATTCTAGCATTAAATAGTTTCTTCTGGCTTAACTGTAAAAGTTGCTATGATCCAAAATCAGTTATTTGTTACATTACAAATGATTATATGGAGTCTGGTTGATGGATCTCTGTAATCAAGTTGAAGAGCTGGTGTCGTATCGAGGTAAAATGTACATTGTTAAGCGTCAAACAGTGACTCAGTTATTGGCTGCAATTCTGTTCTCTTTAAAGCTTTACTCAGTTCCGCATCCTGTTGGGAGATTTTGACTTTACAGAAATTGAAGAAGCTAACAGAGTTTTGGGACCAGTTTATTTCACTACATTTGTGTTCTTTATGTTCTTCATTCTTTTGGTATGTAAATACTTTATTTATAGACATTTTGGTGTCTCGTCAGCATCACTACTTGAATTTTGTTTATTGTTCCTTGTGCCAAGGCCTTAGTACCTCCAATACAGTTGTCTGTATCTGTGTACTTGAAGGGTCAATGTAGGAATACCTGGTTTCTTATTAGGAAGTGGAACCTCATGCCAGATTTCCAAGTTCTGCTTGGTAACTGACAAGATAATCTCACTGCAGCATTATTTTTGTTGGAAAGGGAACCAGTGTCACAGGGAAATCTAAGCATCTAAGGAATCTTGTGGGTCCCACCCCTTAGCCTGGATTCTACCAGCTGCTTGGGGGACCATACATCAAAGAGAACAAGAGGATTCTTCTGACTTAGCAAGGTGCCCCTCTCCAAGTTGGGAGGGAGTGCAACATGCTGCAGTCCCTCACTCACCCCTGCACCATCCACAGCAGGTGGCCATTCTGCTCAGTTCCAGCCCAGTCTGTTTCTGCATGGTGAGAGATGCATGGAGAAAGGCAAATGGGTGTGGGTACAGTGGTAACACTCATGCATATGGCTTGCTGGTGGGATACTTTCTTCCCTCACCTATAGTTCTCTGCTGTGAAACAAACCCCAAATTGAAATCAGAAGCTGTTGTTCTTTGATAAGGTCAAGTGCAAACAAGTTTGATATGAGAATGCAACTGCCATGACCACAAAAGCAGTTGAACCTTCCATCTATTGCTCTTGCCAGGAGGGGTGTTTGGCTAACTGCATTTTGACCCAAGAAGCTGGTTATGGTCCTGTTATACCATCCTAACAAGGTATCTGGGGTCTTTTACCTCTGACTTGGACCACCTTTTAAGAGGTGGTAAGGTTTTTGTATTTAAAAATGCTGTCAAAGGTTAGAGTTTTTTAAAGTTACTTTTAACATTTTTGTCTTGAACAGAACATGTTTTTGGCCATCATCAATGATACATACTCAGAAGTTAAATCAGATATGGCACAGCAGAAGTCTGAAATGGAACTGTCAGATCTCATAAAAAAGGTAAAGACACTGCTGTTTGCGCTGCCTTGGTCATTCTTCTTTGCTGCTTATATACACAGTGTTTAGACGGAATTGACACCATTTTTACAGAGCATCATGCAATATTTTTATGGAATCTGCATCTTTTCATTTTTTTCCTCTATTATTCTTTCAACTTTTCACAAAGCAGAGAAAGTCTATCTTTTTGGCAAAGATGGAAGAGAAGCACAATATCTATAGATGTAGATGTATTATTTTTAAAGACAGGACATTGATGGGATGTTGACACTCTGAGCTGGAATACTATGTCTTTTCTCTTCTCCTGGGTGCACCTTAATCTTCATCATTACATTTCCTTCCCTCTGTGCCATTTTAACAACTTTTTAAAGAATACAATATTTGCACGAAAGCACCTAATTCTCCCTCACCTCCTCTGTGCCTCTGATCTCCTTCTAATGTTCTGTAAGCAGTTTCACCTCAACAAGGGAACCAAGGAAGGGTACTGTTGTTTCTCATCCTCTCAACATAAAGGAAAGAAAGAGACTACTCTTTTTGCATCAATATTTTGTGTTGGAAATACTGTGACCCTCACCTAATCTTCACTCCAGCAACAGAGGAACATATGTGCACATGTCCTCTGGCTTAAATAAGCAAGCAGTGCTGCAGAAATTAAATATAACTGATGAAAAACAAAGATGGGGAAAGAATCAGTTATGTCATGCCTGCTAGCATGCAAGTACAAGAATGTAGAATGTACAGAGAAGAAACATGCAAAGCAGGATATACAGAGAAGAGTGCAGTATCTTCAGCCAGAAAAACAGTGCAAAACATAACAGTGCCTTATGTTTAGTTAAGAGTAAGTCAAGGTCTGAGCTAAGTGTAGCTAGCTTTGTTGATGCAGGTATTAATAACCTCTGACATGCAAACTTATTTATCACCTTTCCTAATGAATTTAGCGTATTTATTCCATAGCTCACAAGCATTGTGTTGGTATAATTGTCTCTTTTTACATTTCTAAAATAGACATGCCACAGGTCAATGCCAAGTATTTTGCTACGTGGATGTTTGTTTAGATATTTATTTATTTATTTATTTCCTGTATTTGCATATTGCTCCATATTTAGGCAGATCATAGAGCAATGATTTTCCTCATTTGACCAGCGAATAAGGAAGGAAGGAACTGAATATATTCATAGCCAAAAGAATTTAAAGGACAGCAGAATGCACATTTCAGAATGTATTTTTGATCTGCCCTATTACAGATGCTTATTTCTGCAGATTACAAAAGCTGAAAGAATAAAATATATTACTACACAATTAAAGTGCAAACAAATATTATCAGCCTTTGTTTTTAAGTCTCATACTTTTGACTACATTTACTGAATGTTTGTTTTTCTTCTTTCAGGGGTACACTAAAGCCATGGTGAAATTAAAATTGAAAAAAACGCCAGTTGATGATATTTCAGAAAGTCTGCGACAAAGTGGAGGAAAATTAAACTTTGATGAACTACGGCAAGACCTAAAGGGGTACATTTGAACAGATCTTTCTCCATTACTGTGTACTTAAATGTATTCCACAATGTATTAAGAACAATGGCAGCAGGGAGTGAACAGTGAAATGCTGGCACAGCGTGTATTAGCACACAGCCAGCATTCCAAAGTCAATTTTGCATGTATTGATTACTCCTTTATGCATTTCATTCATTTCGAGGGTATTTTTTCTGTTCTTTTATAATGCATACTTTTCTACTTAATAGAAATCAGGTCAAGTTATTGACAGTAAATTCTATCACAATTCAGGGTACAGAATAGGTTTCAGTTTAAAGAGATTTGCTTTAACTGATCTGGAATGAATGTGTATTCTTAGGTTAACAACAAGAACTTGTCCACTTCTGCATTACCTCCTTCTGTTGAACTCTTTATTTAACTAAAATCAGAGATGTTATGCCTACTTTTACTTCCAGTAAAGGGCACACTGATGCTGAGATTGAAGCCATTTTTACAAAGTATGACCAAGATGGGGATCAGGAATTGACTGAGCTGGAACATCAGCAGATGAGAGATGATTTGGAAAAAGAGAGGGTGAGAACAGGTCGACTTCTTGAAATACTGTTTTTTTATCTGTACCCATGGTTTTACCAGCAAAAAATCTTTACAGTTGAAGAGGTATCCCAGAATCCCTTGAGTTTATTAGATCTAAAATTAACTACTTTTGCTTTCAAAGGAAACAACTTTGCCTAAATTTTCTCTTTTCAGTTTGTGCACTTAAGGGGGGATATCTTGTAGCCATTGGATGCTGCCTAGAACAGTCAAAGTTCCAGATAAGTGCTCCCAGGTTGGAACTGAGACTCTGACTTCAGAGTGCCCTTTCCCCGTCTTCACAGGCTGGGGGGTTGCAATGAATGCAGCTGCAAGGTCCGAAGAGCACCTTCAAAGCTACTGCTGGAGAGCAGGGAAGGAAGCAGCAAAGCACTGATCTCTCCTGAGGCATCCTGGCAATGCCTGTTGCTCCTTCCTCACAACACTTAGGATACAATTTGGCATGCTGGCTGGGAAATGCTGAGAATGGTCAGACTTTTCTCTTTAAACTTGCAGAGTACTGCAACTTTAGTTAGCCAACAGTGTTTGTCTATGTGCTTTGGAGGGCAAGGGAAGTAAAGAGGCGATCCTTGCCCACATGCTCCTGCCACTGACAATACTGTGCCTGTAATCCTGGAGTTCATAGGGTTATGGGCAGCCACATAAGATTGCACTGTTACTCTGCTTGTGAAAGTGGTTGAAAAGTGGAACAGCATATTGAGTTTGGACAAGGATGGCCTTGCTCAGCATGAATCTCAGTGGAATGGATGAAGGCGGCAAAAATAATGGTAGGAGATGGCTATGGCAGTTGGCTCAACCAGGCACTCATGCAGAATTGTGGATTTCGGCAAACATGGGTCTCTGATAGCAGGAAAATTGCATTTGAAAGAGCAGACCTGTGTGTTTTTGTCCTTGTGCCTATATGAAGAGCCTAACAGCCTTGACTGTTTTCATCAAGGAGGACTTGGAGCTAGATAGAAGCTCTCTGAACCGTCCACTGAGTGGCCGTAGCTTCCCACGAAGCCTCGACGACTCCGAAGAGGATGACGACGATGACAGTGGACACAGCTCCAGGCGGAGAGGGAGCAGCTCGAGCGGGGTTTCATATGAAGAGTTTCAAGTGTAAGTGGTGTTCACGTCACACTTTTAAAAATACTTCTGCTGTGCAACACAGTTGCTCTAAAGTGGGGAGGGGTGAACTGAGTCTTGTGTGGCCTGCTTTAAAAAAGAGAAAGAAATCCTATGTCTCATGCTGTGGATTAAGTCTACAAAGCAGGGGTGTGAATACATAGATACGGCGTATCCGTAACAGCACTTTGGATTAACAGTATGAGAAGTGCCTTGCCGCATCAAACCAGTTCAGCGATCCAGCAGTTTTTGCAGGAACCTTAGCAGCAAGTGGGTGCCAGGTAGCTCACCAGAAATAGTCAACAATCCATTAGTCGTTTAGAATATACCTTCTGCCCATTTGCGATATTTATGCATTTTTGCTGATTTTGTATGTGGTTCCAAGAATGCTGTTGTCGTCATCTCTTCCTTCTCCTCCTCCATCGTCATCGTCGTCATCTATAGATTAGATTTATATGTCATTTTTTTCCTCTTGTGAAAGGCAGTTTTCATAGCTCCATTTTATCCTCACAACAGCAGCCCTGTGAGGTAGGTTAGGTAGAGTCTGTGACTGGCCCAACATCACCCAGCAAGCTTCATGGCTGAGTGTGACTAGAACCCAGTTCTTCCAGGTCCCCAGTCCAACACTTGAAGCACCACTTTTCTTAAAACCATCAACAGTGCAGTTGAAGCTCTATTCTGCCAGAAAAAGAACAAAGCATTATATATCCTAGTCACAGTCTAATCTCCCTGCCTTCCTGTTATAGTTTGTATGCAGCACAGCAGCAAGGAACAAATAGATAAAACAACCATGTTTGTCCCTAATGAAGATGTATTTATTTGGTGTGTAAAAACAACATGTGCAAGTGAGTCAGTTCCACTAGCTTTGATGGACTTCAGCCAATAGTTTTAATGAGCTTTAGTCATATCCTATGTGTTTTCTTTGGCTGTGGCTTACCAGAATTTTTCCCAATTCCTACAATACTGGATAGCTTTCAAACTGAAGATGCAGAGTTTCTGCAAGACCATTTGGTGGTGGGAAGGTAAGGTTGTTTTTTCTTTTTGTTTCTTTGTTTTGGGAGGTCCTAAAAGTAGATTATTATATAATCCTAAAAGTAGAAAGGCTTATGCAATTGTTAAACTTTTACCCAAAATAACATGTTGTTTCACTGGCAGTATTAACAGTAACTATATCTAAAAAGTGTTTTATCTCTAGGTTGGTTCGGCGAGTGGACCGCATGGAGCATTCCATAGGCAGCATTGTTTCAAAGATTGATGCTGTCATTGTGAAGCTGGAGGCAATGGAGAGAGCAAAGCTGAAGAGGAAAGAGGTGCTGGGGAGACTACTGGATGGAATCACGGAGGTAAACTCGCTTATTCTGGGAAAAGGCAAACTGACTGGTGCAGCTCATCTCTCAAGGCTGCTGATTCTGATGCTGTACCTGCTTTGATTAAAACAAGGAAACTTTTCTAATACATAGTCACATTAGGTATTTTGTATCATCATCATTATATCACCCCACAGCTGAAGCTCTCTGGGCAGTTTACAACAGTCTGTATAAGCAGACATTAAAAATATAAAATCAGAAAAGCCATGAAAAAGTTTTAAACCATTTTTAAAAGTTTAAGAAGTTTAAATTTTTCCAAATTTAAGAATTTATGCATGTACATAACTGCTGTGTAGTTTTAAAGAGGTTTTGGCAATCAAAATATGATCGGACACTATGATATTTGTGCCTAGGATGAAAGGTTGGGCCGCGACAATGAACTCCACAGGGAGCAAATGGAGAGGCTTGTACGGGAAGAACTGGAGCGCTGGGAGTCGGATGATACAGCATCCCAAGTGAGCCACCGACTGGGCACCCCGGTGGGGCTCAACGGCCAGTCCCGGGCTAGGAGTTCCCGCCCTTCTTCCTCGCAGTCCACAGAAGGCATTGATGGGGCAGCGGGTGGAAATGGTGGGAGCAACGTTCATGCCTAGCACTTTTCATTCTTGAAAAAGAATTAAATACTCACAAGAATACCCAAATGACAGAATGCTCCATGACACAAGAAGGTAGATTCAGTAAGCCAACAAAATTAGGAAATAAACTACTATGCCTGCTTCTGCCTCTTAAGGACCAGCTATTTATTTAAAATTAAGTCCTGAATTCTGTTCCATCCTCTCAGACCAAAATGACACACATTTTCTTTCACTTAAAGAAAGCAGTGTCTTAGTTAGTAATGTTAATTATCAGCTCATTAAAGCTGCAGTCCTGTGCATGCATACCAGAGAGTAAGACCCACCAAACTCAGTGGGACTCATTTTCAAGTAAACACAAATAGGATTTCAATGTAAGTGGCTGCTTCACATGGGTTCATATGTATAAGGACATAATCCTGTGCTCCCTAGACATCTTCTGAAGAGCTATAGGTCACTGGGGGTTGCCACCTCTGATGCCCCAGACAGAGATCCCTCAACTGCCCCCTCAGCCACTGCAGAAAGGTCCACAGTGGGTCCTCTTCCCAGGTCAATATCATGACCTCAAACAAGGATAAGAGGGAAAGTGAGATGCTGGAGATGCCTTGCACTCAGTGCTTTCTTCTTTTAAAAATATATTTCGTCCTCTAGAGAAAAGACTAAATTATAGAGATCTAATATTCTATAGAAGTATAAAATACTTCCAGTTTGATTTCAAATCAGTTATGTTCTTAAAGTGGAATTTGAAATTTAACTGTACCTTTAACTTCTGGTTTTCTGGAAGTTTGCAATGTTTGTTTGCCTAATCTATAGCTCATGAGTTTACATTGAAATATGTGATGGTGGAAATCTACTATTTGCCAGTTTGAGTACTCCTTTTTTGTCTTGACACTCCTTCCATGGGATCAAATCTGTTCAGCTTTCCCTGTGGGTTCTTCTGTGTGTAAGTTTTGTTTAGCAGTCTGGTCTCATAGAACCTGAGCTGTTTGCCTTACCCTACTATAAATAATTACAGCTAACTATAAATAATTACAGCTAATTGCTCTGCCACTAGGTTTTTCAGTTTGCTTGTCTTAGAGGGGAGCACTGTACTCTGGTAGGGCACAGCCCCATGCATTTTTAGACAGGAAAAAGTCCTACAACTCCCAGCGTGCCCCAGCCAGGGCATGCTGGCATGTAGGACCTTTTCTGTACAAACAGGCACAAGACTGTGCCTTTAGGATAATTAAAGAGTTACGCCTCCTTCCTAAGCGAGATAATCACCCACTGAATTTTTAAACTTTCCCTGAATAGAAATACAAAGATTATGGCTTGCTTGTAAGTAAATGTAAGGGAAGTGTCCAGACCAAAAGTTCAAGATCCATCTCCAATTTCAAGGAAGGAGGGTATGGCATTACTCAATAACATCATAACTTACTGCCAAAAAAGTGACCAGTTTATCATCATTTCTCCACTCCGTGTCTGCTTTCTCTCAAAAGGGAGTCTTTAGCCCTCTCTGAAATTATTCTAGCAGGTCACTGGAATTTCCTGTTATTCAGACAAGCAGTAGCTCTGAAAGGGTCAGGCGAGGCCAGCTGCTCCCTGGCTCTTTCAGTGGGGTTCGATTTGCAACGCATGCTTCTACAGGTGAGTGGTTTTATAGCACCCAATTGCGGTTGTCCTCCCACTTACAGAATCAGCATCCTCTGTAGTCCAAATGACATTCTGTAACTAGATGGGCCACAAATGTTGTGGGGAGGCAGTTTGCCTCTGGACCAAAGCATGGCGGAACATGAGAAGGTGAACTACACCCTCCTCCCTCAGGGCAGCCCTGACACCAAGTTCTCCCCCCATATATCGTTAGGCACCGATGGCAATCACTGTATGGCTAACATTAGACATGGAACAAAAACTGGGTAGGCTGCGTTTCGGGAATATAGTAGCAGTGCAGATCAAATCATTGGAGATTTTGAAGCACTACATGCAGTGTTTTTCCATACAGCTAACAGTGAGTTCTATGGACATACTCAATTAGCTGTAACGCAGGGAATCGTGTGTATGTATAAATAAATGTGTGGTATAAGGCACTTCAACCCATACATGGTTGACATATACCAGCATTAGTGCCAAGGTTAACTACACAAAGCATTTTGTGCCTTTCCCATGTTTTACTGGTCCCAAGCAATAGCGTGGGAAATTACCTTTGAACCATACCTTGATGTTCTTATTTTTAAAACCTTGGTCTTTTCACAGCCACTTCCAATACTTCAGTTGTTAATATGAAAAACAAATGTTCACATTCATAATCTTGATAGTTTATATTTCTGTAACATGTTGTTACTTAATAACAAACTTCATTTTGGAGTGCTATAAGATTTCATGGGTTATCCATGTGTATTGACAATGTACATACAGTTAAAGTATGACAGCTAAAGGTTTTTTTAGCTTTTTATTTCCCACCATGTAAGTGTATGCTTGTGAATTACTACCCTGTTGCCATGATAATGTCCTCAAAGCAAAAATTATAAATGTTCTTGTTTTAGAAAACAATTATACAGGTTTCCCATTGTGATCAAAGATGTATTGGATTAAGAGTGACCATCTCCCTACCAAATAAAATACGTTATCTGGTTTATACTACGTTGTGTGTAGGGCTTTTTGGAGGCAGGGGGACGACAAGCTTCATTTAAATCTAAGTCCATGAGTCACTTGCAAGAGATGGAATAGAGAAGTTCTTGATCTTGTTCTTCAACTGCATTTCAGTCCAATGCTCTTAAGCTAAAGCAAAAGGCCTTAATTTAATTAAAATGTGCTATTGCTGTTTGGAGCCTTAGCATTTCTGCTAATGCAACCTATTTTTGCACCTTTACTTGGGAGTTACACAGTGGGAGTAAACCAGATAAGTATTTTCCTCCTATGAAGGTAGAGAGACATTAAATATTACTTGGACTTCTTGTTTTAGCCCCTTAATGAGTGAAAAGATTCTAAGGACTCAATGCTTTACATGCCAAGAGGTATAAGGGTTGCAGAGACCACTGACTTTTTGCTCTCTTTCTATTTTCGCTACCTATTTTATCCAGTCAGTGGTTTTTCAACCTTTTTGGCGCTAAGACCCAACTTTGATCTTTCTATACCAACCACGAGGAGGAGGACTAGGCCTTTGGAGTCCCAGGTCTGAGATCTCTGAGACAGGACTCCAAATAATCCAGTGGCCTACCGGACAATGTCAGGAGGCCACAGGATTGCTGCTTAAATCTGGTGAAGAGTTAATGCTGTCAATATGTCTGTGTCACACACAGCAGACCTGCAGACTGGGTGGTTTTCCATGGTTATTTAATCATGCAGTAATTACCCTCTACGGGTGCATTCTTGGGGTTTATGATTTCCACTTCTAATCTGCTGCCATTAGTACATAATATGCAAAGTTTTACTTGTTTTCAAGGAAATCCATTTTTGAAGACAGGCTCTTAGGCCTGCTTTTTCACAAGCATCAGATGAGGTGCTATAAGTGTTTGCAGGTAGGGTTTTGCAAGATTGGATGCTACTCAAATTTTGTTTTAAAGAAGCTATATCTTACACATAGAAAACTAGCATGCCAACTTGAGAAGGGCTCAAGTTTTCTACCTCATTTGCTGCTTGTGAGGACAAGTTCTTAACATGATGTGGTTCATGTCTTTAGCCCTTGTGTGGCTGATTTCCTTTTTAAAAAAAATCTGATACTGGCCCTAGAACACCCCCACCCCACCCTGCTATTTGTAACGAAAGGAAAGCTCCCATTGCAAACAGTTGGTGCTAACAGCAGGACAAAAGGTTAAACACAGCTACACACGTGCTATAATCCTGATCCAACTTGCCCCCATGTAGCACCAGCTTAAAAAAAAATCAGCCACACAAGAGTTAAATACATGAACAATGTCATCTAATTTGGCCTGCGGACTGAAGACAGTAACTGTATGACAAGTGCAATTTAATAAAAATGACCAAAATGAACATGGATGAATCAGCAAGATATTTAATGAGCTGCATGTTTTACAAATATTGCATGTTTACTATAAAAGAATGGTGCAGTCTTGGGTACAAAGATCTACCGCACTTGCTTAAGTGAACTTTTTTAGAAATCTCAGTTTTAGGTATGCAATTGTGAGGAAAGTGATTGTCATGCATATAAGCGCAACGTAATTCTGCCACATGCTCCAAGGAGTCACACTGATGCCTTGCATTCTCAAATACTCTTCTCCAGTGCATCTAACAAATACAGGTTAAAAGTTAGTCAAACCTATATTGGAAATACAGCATCCTTAATTTACCTGCTTTCATCCTTTGCTGTGAATGCTGCTCCTGAGTATAATTCAAAAGAATGACAATTAGAGAGGAAGTTTATGAAAGTAATCCGCATCATCCGTGTGCAGACTGAGGGACCATCCTAATTCTCTGCAGAGTACACAGTATGGTCAGGTTCAGTGAGGACTTCCTTCTCCATCCTTTTGCTCCTAACTCTGTGACCACATTATCCCTTTTATCTCTTATAGATGATTTATCAACTTATTTTATGCTATAGATATCCCAATATTATGCCAAGATTGTGGCTTCCCATCCCCATTACTGCTAATAAACAAGGAGGAATAGATCTAGGAGAAAGGTGTTTTTTTTTTTTTTTAAGCCATAGTAGACTCCACCGAGGAAGGGGCACACAGCCTTCAAAAACTGAAAAAGTTTTTTAAAAGGTTCATTAAGTGAGAAGGTAGGATGGGGGCATTTGCCTTACTGATATTAGCCCTCCTTGTTAGGACTGGACTGGTTAATTAACAGCAGAGGATGGAGGCTTCAGAGGAGCTGAGGTTTGCTCTCTAATTTTATAAATGGTCTCAAAAGGGAGAAAGCTCCATATCTGATCGCCAGTAATTATTTCAATTACTTTTATATTAAGAAACATAGGGAAATGGTCCTGCTCAACGGAGCAGATCAGGCCCAAAAGTGCCATTAAATAGGCCCAGGTCTTTTGTTTTTAGCTTTCTGTATATTGCAAACGCTTCCAATGTGATCAGTGCTTACATTGTAAATGGACTAGGTGTGATGCATGTTATGTTGATTCCTTCTGTGGTATCCTTGCAAAACTTGAGCCCAGTAAATTCATTGATTTGCAAAGCCTTTGAAGACAGACAGACAGACAGACAAACAACTGAGTTACTTGCTTATATTATCTGAGAAGTCTTCGATATTGTCACACCTATGAAAGAGGGCAAAATGATAGGACCAGTGTGTGTTTTTAAGGCTTAAGAAACATTATAAATATTACTTCTCAATATCCAGAATTCCAGGCAGTCCCCAAACAAAAAAACATGGACCTCACATATTAACTGGTTTCCTGTACTGTACAGGAAAGAATAAATGGAGGAAAGATGTAAATGTGAAGCTTGCTCATTGTCTTGCAATGTAGATTTGGGCAATCTCTGAGAAGTAGGGTAGACAGGAAAACCTGGAAAAGGCGGCAGGGCTTCTGCACGTGTGGAACAAAACCATTAAAGGTGTTGGAGCCCTCTTTTTCCCTCTGACTAACCCTACTGAAATACTGACAGGAATTCATTCTGATGCCTTGGCAGTATATATCAAGGACAGGTACTGCTGTTCCTGCTTGAAAAATGCTACTGGGGCATGTGGTATAACAACCATCCAGTTCAAACACAGCAAAAACCTTTGAAAGATCAAATCCTATTCAACTTCCTTTCAGCTTTTGCGTGCAGGTGGATAGTCACCCACCTCAGTTCTTTTATATCATCAGTGCAGTTTTCAGATTTATACTCTCCTAAGCTGGAGCTCTGGGGTGAAAATAAATACATTATAATAAATAAATCTATAAAGGAATACTCAGTTTTAATAATACAAATATATGGGATGAGCTCTTTTTCCAAGGGCACCACAGTGCAGTTTACAGTCTAAACCACTAGGTGTCAATGCTACATAATAGGCACAAGTGTTGAATGTTTTTCTAATTATGTCAGGGAAGCCCTGCGCTTTCTTGGAAGCTTCTCTGGCATTCTGCAAGGAGAACGTAATGGCAGAGAATTGTTGATGAGTTTCCCTGGAAAGTGATTGGCCCACAGCTACCCATCATCCCCTAAATTATGCAGAGTTAGGTGTGTCTTCTGAGACAGGAGTGGTCCAGATGTTTTAGACTTGGATTTCCGCAAGTCCTTGCTAGTGTTGCCAATGGCCAGAGATGCTAGGTGCAGAATTCCAAAGCATACGCAGCCCTGTATTTTGCCCACTCATACTCCAGGGTTCACACAAAACCACCACTCCTATAGGCCCATCTGTGTTCCTAGAAACTCATGCAGTGTGCAAAGCATCCCTAAGCAGGTGTGCTGGGATTCCTTGGCAGAAAGGATAAAATTCTCCAAACACAGCCCTGCCATGCAGCAGGTTGGCACCAGATGGAGGGGAAATATGAAGCAGGACAAATGCTCACCTCTTCTAATGCAATAGCTTAAAGATCCAATGGCGCTTTCCTCGTTTGAATGGGTACATGCACTTGTAAATGGATACTTATATAGATATTTGGTCTACCTTTGCTCACATTTATGTATAAATCTTAGCTGAATTTTCATATAAATTCAGACACTTGTTTTATATGTATGCAATGAAACTGACACATTCAAATATATGTAGTTGCTATTGGTTCCTTTTTATAGCTGTTTGGTTGAATTTTCATAAGAAAAATTAATTGAAAAAAGTGTAAACTTACATTCAGGCCATAGCGAGGGATACTGAAGTACTTCAGCCACAACAACCAAGAGGAAACTGTTGTGATATTTACCAACAAGCCCGAGAAAACCTGCAAGCAAAGGAGAAAATGCAGGGGAAAGGATGGATGATGCAGGACAGGATTGTGTTCAGAGCCTTCAAGAAATTCACAGATTCTGAAATTTATGTTCAGAATCCATTGGCACCAGTAATGTAAATACATAAATACAGTGGGTTTTTGTTTTGTTTTTCACTGAAAAGCAGAATTTCTAAAGTTCTTATTTCTTGGAATGAGCAGGATCTCCCTGTTATCATTAAAGCTTGCACTTTCCAAATTCAGCAAATTGAATACCTGTTTTTATTGCCTTTGGCCCCCATGCCTACAATGCTTAAATGCCACAAAATGCAACTATGAATTTTCTACATGGCAACCATGTGCAGGCTACCAACAGAGATATCAGTGTTGGAAACCCAGGTGTATTTGTGATCAGAAGCAGATAATAAATTACTGTTGGGATTAAGGGTGCAATTTTATGCATGTTTAGACAGAAGAATGCAATACACTTCAAGTATTTCCCAGCCAGCATGGCTAGCTAGGGAATGCTGGAGCTGTAGGCCTTTCTGTGTTTAAAGGTGTTAAGATTGTACTATAAAACACTTTCAGATGGAGTTCTGCCTTCATGAATGGAAATTTATGGAGTGTCCCCAAAGGCATCATCTTCAACTTGCAATCCTACTGTGTTTTCCCACCACTTCTATTTCTTTTCCTTTCCACAAAACAACTATTAAGAAAAGATGAATTAGTGACATGTAGCCTTAAAGACTAGCAAGTTTATTATGGCATGAGCTTCTGCGGACTGCAGTCCACTTCATCAGAGGCACCAAGCATAAGTTCCAGGTAGATATATTCCAGTTGCATCTATGTATACCCCAACTAGTCAAGACAAGATGCTTATCTGCAAGTATAGTTCTTTGAGTGACCGTCTGTTGTTTGACACACAAGGGCTTTGCAACTCCATTTTGAGAAACTTCTATAGCTGAGATATTTCTGAAGGAACTTTCTCCCACCATCCCACTGTACAGTTCCTAGCAAATTTCTGCTCATTCACTCAGTTCCTTGAAGAGGATATTGTAGTCTCAGAACTAAGGTAAATCTTCCCTATCTACATCAGACTTGATCACCACTTGAAAAACTGCAAGGACAGGTAACTAACTGGTCTTTCTTCTTTATGGGATCCATGCATCACACAGATGGGCAAGTAGAAAGCTGATTTACCAGAAGCCACCTGGAGTCTTTACTGCAAAGGAGAAGCTAGGACTGGGTGAAGGAAGAACATTCAGGCCATAGTGCTGAATGAATGTAGACAACCTCAGTCAGGTTGCAGAACAGTGCAAGTCAGGGAGTGCGACTCCCCTATCAAACGTGGCCAACATTGCTACTGCAGGAATAGGATGAAGATGAACTGGGCAGAGAATCTGAGACCAGTCACCTTATATACCACTCAGTCACCTTGATGACTCATGAGGGGAAGCATTATGTCAAGACTGTGAGGTCCTTCTGTTTCCTGCAGTAACTGATGGACAGAGTAACTGATTCTGTCTTTGTCATCTGAAAAGCTAATGCCAGGTGAATGTCCCAAGTGTAGATGGTTGAATCAAATAAGGCTGATGGGGAAGAAAAGAATGCTGGCAAGACAATGGCCTGGCTGGGAAGGAATTTTGACACAACTCTAGGAAGGAAGCTGGTGTCAGGCCAGAGAGCCATCTTACCTCTATGAAAAAGAAGGTAATCAGGTCACAAAATTTGCCAGAGTAACAGCAACCAAAAATACTGCTCTGATGTAAGGCATTCCCAGTCCAATTGTCTATCTCAGTAAGGGAACAGAGGTGTGAATTGGCACTGATTACACTCCTGATGTCTAGGAGCAAGACTACTCTTTACTGACCCCACTGAGGTGATGGGAGTCATCCTCCATCCCATTTCACCCTCCAACATTGACAGAATCAGAATTGGGTTCTGCACTGGGAGTGATACTGCCATCAATATCAGACATTGTGATACTGATGGAGGAGCAGGAAGTTTGATCAGAAGCAGGGATAACGGTGTGTTCCATACTGAATCTGCCAACTTTTTGGAGCTTCTGTTTTTCTTCTTCTTAGCATAGTAAGATGGCACAGTTGATGATTATGAAACTCTGGCCATTTCTGCTCGCCAGCAAAAGTGTGATCAGCTGCCCTAGCATGGGTGGGCCTTACCCGCTCAGAGATGCTGCTTGTCTCAGTGTCTGGGTGAGACTAGGGGTGATGCCAAAGCAGACATGCCCTCAGCAGTCTTGGAGAAGGTTCACCCATAGTCTTCCTTGACTCTTCCACAGCCTTCTCCACAGGACAATGCACAGCTGGTCAGATCAGTTCTTCCAGGCTTGCTTCACGGGGGTCTCCCTCTCCCTCAGAACTAGTTTGCTCCCACAGTGAACACACTTCCAAAAAGGGGCCTGGAGGGCCATTTACCTGTTAGGCAATTGCTAGATTATGAAAACTAAACCAAAGGTAATCAAAGTCAATTATGAAGCATGATAGAAAGAAGGAAAGTGATGGGCATGGGGGGGGGCGGGCAGGGAGGAGAAGAAAAGTCATCTACCAGATAGACTAAACGCAAAGAATTTCCCCACCATGGCTTCTGCAATGGCAGTTGAAGGAGAACTGAGGAAGTAAGTGGTGATCCACTAGAGACAGGCACACTGGGCTGGTAGGGGAGGATGCCCACCAAAATTTCTCAGCTACTGAGCTCCATATAACTGCACAGCCCATACATTTGATGCACAAAGACCACAAAGAAGAACTTGTGATAATACATCGTGCATGAAGTAGACTGCAGTCCACAAAAGCTTATGCAGTACCCCAAGCCTCCATTGCTTTTTCTTAACTATAGGATCCAACACTGAAGTCAATGGCACATCGCAATAGTTTAATCATAGTCTGCACAGTAGTAGTGGCAGGGCTGGGGGCAGAGGGGGAATTAATTTTCCAAGCAACAATATATTGTTCTTTGCTGTAAAGTATTTCAAGGGGCAACTGAGAGCCAGTCGTTTATCGAAAACCTGCTCCTACCAGATGAAAACTTGTAAAAGTTGTTTGTGGATATGGATGTTGGACTCCCCGTGGAGAATGACTATAAGAGCTATCATGGAGACTACCTGCAATTGAAAATTGGCTCCATTTATTATAATCTAAAAAAATCTGGAGGGCAGCAGGTTGGATGCCTTGTATGCAGAAATGCAGATGTACGATCCTCCACACAGGAGGTGGGCTGATGGAGAAGAAACCCATCTACTGAAGATGAGGAGAAGGACGCCTGGGGGAACTGAACCATTCGTTACATCATAATGTGCAGATTAATACAGAAGGAAGAGACTACATTCATCTTAACACATACCTGCAGAATGGCGGTGATTACAAAAAATAGGTCATGTGTAGAGACAGGGGAAATATCATTCAAGATACCCAAGAATGTCCGAGGCAGTTCATAAGAGTATGCAGCGTGGCACCTGACTTTTCCCCAGTGGAAAATTATTTTAAATTGTAGAAAGCTACAATTCAGACAGGACACAACTGTTGGGGCCGGTGACTTTAGACTGGGCTTAGTGGCTTTATGGAGACTGTTCTTTAGCTAAGAGTTCGTTCCTTCAGTGACTTCCACAGGCAACCTCACTGCTGCACCGAGGCCCTGCCCAAACTGCTCAACTGGTTGGGGTGGCACCTGTACTCGCAGCCATTTCAAATCAGGCCTGCTCCTACCTGCATTGTTTCTTTCTCAATTCTCTTTGTGCTTCTCATCAAAGTGTGACGGAAACTGGGATGAAGGGTGACGCGCTGGAAACTGGCTTCTTATGGAGAAAATGGTTATAGATACCCTTTTCTAAAGTAAGGATGCAGAGAAAAGTCTAACACTCACAATCATAAAAACAAAGCAGATGTTTATAAACATGTTTGCAACGGATGTCACATCCTGTCCTGTTGCTATCGCCAGGGACATAGAACTCGCTGCGTAGGCGACTAATATAATAGTAATCATCATGATAAAAAAGGCTGCCGCAGTTGGCTTAAAACCTAAAACAGATAAGTAATTTCAGTATGCACAGATACGTTGTACAGAGTGTCAACATTTCTCCAGAGCAGAATTTAACACAACCCATCATAGGCATGCCTGTCTACTCAGAAGTAATCACTGTGGAATGCAATGGGAAACTTACTCCCATACAAGTGTGTATATATTTTTATATTTATTAGATTTTATACCCTGCCTTTTTTCTTACAAAGAACTCAATGCCGCTTATGTATTTCTCCTCCTCCTGCTCTCAGTCCTATTCCCACAACAACCCTGTGAGGTAGGTTGGGCCGAGAGTCTGTGACTGGCCCAAGGTCACCCAGTTGGCTCTGGGTCTGAGTAGGGACTAGATCCCAGATTGCCAAGGTCCCAGTCCCTCACTCTTAACCACAACACCACACTGGCTCTCTAGCAGCCTTTCCCAGTTTGGTACTTTCCAGATGTTTTGGACTTCAACTCCCAATAGCCCCAGTCAACATCTGAAGGGCAAGGAAAGACTGCTGCATAGGACTGCATCACTACTATCATGCTTTGGTTCCATTTGCCTGGGAAGAATACTGGGGTTTTGTGTCCTTATGGGCAAATTGAACGCACAATGAGGGCTTCTCCATCACTGTGCCCTCGGTTAAACTACAAAATTCCTCACTCCCAGCTGGCATGCAGGGCACCAGATTGGGAAGGCTGACCAACAGAACTGGCAAACATATCATGCACCAGTTATCTCAATAGCCAAATGCATAACCACTGACAGTCTTCCAACCAGCTGACTGGAAATGATGGGAGTTGTAGTCCAATGCAGGTTGGGAGGGTTTATTTATTTATTTATTTATTTATTTTTCAATTTATATCCTGCCTTTTTCCTACAACGGGCTCAAGGCAGCTTACATCATTCTCCTCCTCCATCTTATGTTATCGGCCCATATGCTCTGTCCTGGATCGAAAGCCATTTGCTTTTTTAAGTCAGGGTCAAAAAATAGGAGAAATAAAATTAATGTATGTTATATTCAGTAGCTTCATCATCAGTTTGGATCGGGGGAAAGGAGGGCTAAATCCAGCCCTGTGAACAGATGGTTGACCTCACACCATTTTCTACATAGAACACACAAGCGGGTGGCCTGGGCATTCACACCCACTAGCAGAATTTCTCCTGCTGAGGGTGCCAGCCAGCCTTTCTCCCAGATAATTTTAGAAACAGAAACTAAAAAGGCAATTAAAAGGGGGAGATCAGCGATGCCTCTGTGTCCTACAACTGTAATTCAAGCACTGGACCTCTTTATTGTACCTATTTTCTCTTTAACCTTTCACATAATTTACATTTAAAGAGTTTCAGCAGACCAGAGATAAGGAAAATAGTAGCCCTGCTATCTAGTTTGAGTGATGGGGGAAAGGAGAAAGAGCTTGGGTAGAATACTTGCCTATAGTGAAATAATTTAAGCAGGTGAGAATGATGCCTGGCAAAGTCCTCATGGGCATCATGTCGGCTATTATCTTCGAGAAGAAATATGCAGACACTCTGTAGTAGCCACTTATGTATTCATGTCTGCAATGAAAAACAATTGCACATATTCAGAATCTGCCTGATCCAGAACTGAAGCTGCCAACGGCCGTGGTTTCCACATTGCCACCGGGGCTTCCTCCAATGCTCATGACAGTGAGTGAGAAACACAGTGTTACTCTGAGGAACACAGGCCTAATTCCTCAGATCCATCAAGAATGCTTGAACAATTCTGGCCTCCACACCTCTAAAGGACTGCAATGGGATTGGAAAGGGTGCAGAAGAAGGTAACTAAAATGATCAGGGGGCTGAAGCAGCTCCCTTGTGAGGGGAGGGCAAAACGTCTGTGGCTGATTAACTTGGGAAAAAGGGAAGATGCTCCCCTCCCTCCATAATATCGGAACCCAGTGGGTTTACCCCAGAAAGCTGATTGGTGGGATCCACAGAATCATAGCATAGTCAAGTTGGAAGGGGCCTGGAAGGTCATCGGGTCCAACCCCCTGCTGTTGCCCCCTGCTCACTCAGATGACTGTCCAGTTTCCCCGTGAATGTCTCCAGTGTGGGAGAGCCCACCACCTCGCTAGGCAGCTGGTTCCACTGTCATGTTGCTCTCGCATTAAGGAAACTTTTCCTGAAATCTAACCCAAATCTGGGTTGTTGCAACTTGAGTTGGTATTAGTGAGAAGAAATCTTGACCTTTGAGGGATATCATGTCTCCCCTCAGTCATCTCAAGACTGAATGTGCCTGACTCTCTCAGTCTCTCCTCATTCGGCAGTGTTTCCAAGCTCTGGATCATTTTGGTTGCCCTTCTCTTTACCCTTTTTCGAATTCGTTCTGCGTATTTCTTAAATCTTGGTGCCCAGAACTGGAGAAAGTATTTTGGATGGGAGATCCAAAGGGAACCCTTCTTCACACAGCATGTAGTTACATTAAAGAATTCACTTCCTCGAGACATAGTAAAAGAAGGTAAAGTGTGTGGCTTTTGTAAAAGGATATTAAGGTCACAGATGAAAACCTGATCAATCGCTCCTGGCCACAGTGGATGCAGGCTTTCTCCAGTGCCAAAGGCCATCAGCCTCTCAGTGCCAGCTACTGGGATCCCAAGAGGACACTATCGCACATGTGTGCCCCCCCCCCCCCCCCCCCCCCCCGGTGTGACTGCTTTCTAACTTAAGGATATTCATGGAAGGGACTTTCCCTTCTCCTCTTTTCCCCAGCAAGCCCCTCCCACATTGTTCAGGAGAAATGACACTTTCCAGAAAGTCTTTGAGGGGGAGACAAGTAGGGAGGAAAGGGGAAACTTTCCTTCCAACCAATTCCTTAACATAGTTTAGGACCCAAGCCACAGGAAACTGCCTTAGAACCAGGTCAAGCAAGTTGCCTGCTGCAGTCTGAAGGACATCAGAGTCTGAGATTGCAGGGATATATCCCAGGTACACAGGGTCATAGGATTTTATTGTGTAATAATTGCCAGTGAGATAGCTAATGATCCTGTGATAAGCCACCATTCACCCAGATGAATCCAAAATGGATGCTTTCAGGTAAGGTAAAAATGTCAGCTCGTGCCACAATGGCACACAGCTGTGCAGTAGAATCCGAGGTGCTTATTTTCTGAACTTTCTGTAAACTGCCAAGGTTGGCTTCAGAAACGTGGCATAGAACTGCAATTAATTAATATATAAGGGGATACTCATGTGGACACTCTTGGACTGACAGTTAAAATGACAGGAATATGGGTACATCTATTAAGGACGCAATAACATGTATGTTCAAACAGAAAAAGGAGCCAGAGTTGGTTGCAGGACTTTTTCATGTCTAGAGGATCGAGCCTTGAAAGGAAAATATGCTTGGTTTTCCATTACATGCAGATTTACCTACATAAAGATCTTTTTTTCTGTGATAAAAAGTTCAACGGTCGTAATACTATTCAAACACTGATTGGTCGTCAAGAAGAACAAAGCGCCAACTCTGTAAGATTGCAAAAGAATTCCAAAATTAGCCAGTCAGGTTAAACATGGCCAGACATACTGCTAATAAAGCCGATTATGGTGGAATCATTTGGTAAGTTTTTCTTTTCCACCCCCACTAAAATGGAAGACTTGTGCAGGTGAAGGGATGCCCCAGGCAGGCTGGGAAGTTCTCCAGTGCTGGGAGGGAAACTGGTACCCTCCAGATGTTGTCCACCACAACCCTCCAGATGTTTTGTACAAGTGCACATGCTGGCTGGGGCAGACGGAAGTTGAAGTTCAGAAGATCTGGAGGGTACCAGATTGGGGTAGGCTGCCATAAGGTATAGAAAGCAAAACTAGCACCTGAAACTAACAGCGTGATTTGAAGGCTCTCTTTCTGCCAGTTATGCCCAAGTGGCTACCACACTTGCCAGGACATTGGTGTTCACTGAAGTGTGGTCAAGCATTGCACACAGGCCTCTCCACTGCACACACAGAACTACCACAAATATATTTTTCTGCAGCCGCTCAATAAAACATTTAGGATAATTTACAACAGAATAATCCACACCTGCCTGAAAGGTTATTTTGTTGTTCATACTAAGCAAACAGCGTTGAAAAGGAGCTCATAATAACAGTCCATAAAAATCCAGTGGGCTAAATAAAATTAAACCTACTGCCAGATAATACTATAAGTGCAAGCGTATACATGCCTAAGTTAGAAGTGAGCCCCATGACTGAGCTAACACAACATGGTAACCCGTCGGGGGTAATTGGCCCAGTCTCCTTCCTGCAGGGTGGTTTGTTTAGGGCAACAAGCCACCCTGGCAACCCATGGCTTGTTTTAGAGCTAGTTGAAGCCATGCTGGGTTGTCAGGCAACCAAACCCAGAACAGTCCCATCATGGATCACAGGAAGTGGGATGCAAGCCATATATGGAAGGTGCACCCCAGAGGGATGCGCCTGGCACTGAGTTTATATTCTTTTTGGTGCCAGGTTAAAACTATTGTATTTAATTGCTTTTTAAAAAACTAATATTTTATCGTTGAACAGTCACTCTCTTTGCTTTCGGTTTTTTGTCTTTATGTAATCTTTTATTGAATTTGTTATTTATACAGATCATTTCATTGTTTTTAATTGTATGTACTGTGAGCTGTCCTGAGATGCCAAGGCATATTGTGATGGCATACAAAAGTTTTAAAATAAAGAGAGAGAGAGAGAGACAGAGAGAGAGAGGGGAAGAAAGCGAGAAAAAAAGAGAGAAAGCATGAGCTGCATAATCTCCTTGCCACGTTGTTCCTTAGGGTTCCTTAGGGTCCTTCCTTAGGAGTCTGTTCCCCTAGGGTTTTTTTAGTATTAGTTCTCAGTGCTCTTTGCTCTTACCATACTCCCAAGGGTCTGTGTATTGTAGAAAGAGGAGATCTACATCCCACCCCTTCTTTTGCAGGGACTTAGGTTTGGCAGCTGACACGAAAAAGGGTTCTTTTAAAAAACCAATCTAGCACATTTCAACAGTCAGGGAAATATGCATGGATATGAATATCCATGGATTTTATCTGCTTCACAGTTGGCCAGGCAAGACTTCACAATTACAGCAGCTTTAAGTGCACACTTGTGCAAGACTGGGCCTTTAAAAAAAGTGGGGGGGGGGGCAATAAGCCAGTGGATGCTCACTCCAAAGTGCCTCTTGGGCATCAGTGGAGTGTCTGTCACTGGGAGCGGCATGTGGCTCCAGAAAAAACAAAGCAATAAACAAAAATGGAGTCACAGTCAAAGCAGGAAGGAAGAGAAGACATGCCCTGCCACGTAGAACCCTGGTACACCAGCTGGAGAGCCAAGGGGAAGGGGTCAGAGAACCTCCCATGGGAAGCCCAATCGTCTGCTGAGCACACCATGGGCTGTTCCAGGAACAATCCACACCCAAGGTGGGTGGCTGTTTTATAGGAACTTGCCCACTGTGCTCAGTGGTGCTGACTCCTACCATATTTCCCTGAAAATAAGACCAGGTCTTATATTAATTTTTTGCTCCAAAAGACACACTAGGGCTTATTTTCAGGTGATGTATTATTGTTTCATGTACAACAATCTGCATTTATTCACGTACAAAAATCTACATTTATTCAAATACAGTCATGTCATCTTCTTCTGGAACATCATCATAACTCTCAAACCCTGAATTGTGTTGCAACGGATGTACTAAATTCATCCGTCTGACGATCTTAACAGGGGCTTATTTTTTGGGGTAGGGCTTCTATTGCGAGCATCCTGAAAAATCATGCTAGGGCTTATTTTCCAGTTAGGTCTTATTTTCAGGGAAACAGGGTAGACAAGGGTGAAGGCCGAGATTATTTTCTTAAAAAGCAGGTGGATAAGAAGCATTTCATAGGGTGCCCACAAGTGGCACCAGGTATTTCTCCCTAAAGAGGGCAATCCAAGCTTGGAAACAGTCCCTCCCCCTGCCTCTTCGTCATAAACTGTACTAATCTGACCATTGGTTCTGCCCACTTTGAACCCTAATCCAAAGAGATGTTACGCATGTTGCAACCCCCTTTAAATCATATTCCAACATGTACTAACCTATTTTGAATGCCAGTGGCATCATTTTTAACTCCAGCAAAAACTGCTCCAACAAGCATTCCCAGAAAAGTGATAATAGCTATCTAGGAGGAAAAATATATATATGTCAAATTAACAGCACTCTATGTTGGACAAGGAAAGCTCTGGAAAACATGCAAACCCTGGCAAAGTATTATGGCAGTCTTCCCCAACATGGTGCCCTCCAAAGGGCCAATAGCCAGGCTGGCCAGAGGTGATGGGTGTTGCAGTCCAGCTAGGCTGGGGAAAGCCAGATTGTAGCTATGGTCTGTTCTACTCTTCTGCTTCTACTTTGGGGGGAATCTGTGAGGATGGAAGTCATGGGTCACTTCAGCCTAGACTGGATGACCTATAGCTGTGCTTTTCCATCCAACAGCCAAGGGGGCAGAAGAATGCACATTACAAGGTGCAGGTGCGCTGGAGGGATGCAACCGTGAGCCCTGACGTGTGTGAATTAGCCCAGGCCTCACAAGCAGGCTCCAGGGCCCTGCTCCAGTTCAAGCAACTGATGGCCAAGCTAGATTTGGGGGAAGCAACATGGCACACTGGGATTCCACGACTGGGATTTCCCAGGGTACTTTTCTTCTAGGAAAAAAGCAGCCCCGTGCAGGGTGGGAGGAGAGTAACAGATCAAGGCTCTGCGTGAGGGAGAGGGCATTTAGCCGTTTGCCCCTGCAGCGACTCCTCGCCTGCGCAGTACTGGGCCCCAAAGCACCAACAGACGAGCAAAGGGATTGTGGCGCCTACATTCTGCATTATCTATCTAGCTCTCCCTTCCAATTTAAGGGCATTCCTACACTAGAAACATATCCCAGTTTAAAACCAGTTCGACACACAGATTCTCTGAAACAAATTAGGGTTAGTTATTTTCCTTGTAAAACAACCTTTATTTGAAAACTGCTTCCCCCCCCCCCCCCCCCAAACAACAAGAATACCAACTTCTGAACTACTTTAACTTCAATATCCACAAGAGAAACTATAACAAGGTGTTGTAGATTTGTAAGCAGACTAAGTATCTTAACACAGGAAATGAATGAATGAAACTGTGCAACCTATTTGGGGTGGAGCACTGAGGGGAACTATAACAGATGGACAGAACAATCTTATTCATGTGCACTCAGAAGTAAATCCAACTGGGTTCAAGGAGTCCTCCCTTGAGCTTGTTGACAACAGCTTTAAGGACACTGATTAAAAATGGTATGCCATGCTTTCTTCAGAATAAGCAAAAGTGATGATAGTCACAGCCAAGAGGATGGTAACAGCCCGTTCAGCTGGGTTTAAGTAGGAGGGATTGCTTGAACTTTAACACTAGAAGCGCACTTGATACTTTGGTACCACAGTGCTAAAGGCCTGCCAAGAAGACCGAATGTCAGGGATAATTCTACGCTGAGCCAGTTGAAGTGGGAAACAAAGATCATATCAAGACCAATTTAAGAAGATTAGCTAAAAGGGATTAATGGAATGCGGGGCCTCTTTAAGAATGCATTCAAAATCCATCCCTAATGAGGTTAGGGAGATAGAAATGATTGTGAGAAAAAAGTCAGAACCATTAACCCGAGACGATTATAGGCTCTTAAAATGGTAATTCTTGTCACAAGGTCAAGCTTTTACAAAGCAATTACTGGGGATCCTCGTAGCATCAACATACACACACCGGCGCTTTTGACTTCACGGGCTCTCGCTAAGTATGGGCTTGCATTTTGAAGAATGCTCACAGGTCACGGAGAAAGAAGCAAGGAATGGTGTCACAGGAGGAAAGCATCCACAGTCCTGCAGAGAGTGGATGATGGAGAAGCAAGACACAACTGGGATGCACTTCTAACACACTCTTTAGTTCCTCAGTCCTTTGTTGCCTCAGTGGTCCATCCAGTCTTGGTCTCACCTTCAGCCCAGACGAGCCTTGGATGGTCCATTTCTTCCCTTCTAGCAAAGGATTTGCAGTGGCAGAGCTGCTGCTACATTCTTGCTGGAACCATGCATGATGGCTTAACCCACAACCTTCCAGATGTTCTGGTCCTCAACTCCCATCTTCCTTCATCATTGACAATGTTGACTAGGAAGGATGGGAGTTGTAGACCACAACATTTGGAAGGCCACAAATGGCTTACCCCTGCAGAACTGAATCTCAAAGCAGCAACAGAAGAGCAAGGGGTTAACAGACCCCACAACCTGCATTGTCTGCCCATTATATTTTCCTCTCCACTTTAAGAGCATATCTGCACTTTAAATCAATTCCAGCTTAAAACCAGTTTAACACGTTATAGATTCTCTGGAACAATCTTGGAAAATTGTAGTTACTCAGTGCACAGAAATATTTATTCGAGATTAACACCTCCCATGCATAGAATTCCTGAAGTTCCTTGAGTGACAACAAGAGCCAGTATTATATTTGTAGTGCTACTGTGTAACCCAAGCACACTACTTTGGGAAGGAAGAGAATATATAATGCTCATTCCATAACATAGCAAACATAGTTATTCCTATAACTATTTAAATTTAATGCATTTTCAAAAAAATGGGCCATATGACTTCTTAATAACATTAGAATTTTTCTATGATTTGTGAAAGAAAGCTGCATTTGCATTACCTGAGCTGTGGAATTTTGTGGGTTGCCTATCAAATTTTTAAACGTGCGTTTAGACACCCACTTGAGTTGATGAAAAAAGGGAGTGGTATATGGAATTGCTTTATAAGTTTCCTTCTTCCTTTTGTTTTGCAAAGACAACTCATCTAGTTCTGCTCTCAACGTCTTGTAGGAACTCGAGTTGGAAAACTTTTCAGCTAACTTTGTCGCAATGGACTCGCTTACTTGCTCAGGGCCTGTTTTGGATGACAAGGAAAAATTCAGATTATTCTATTCAAGTAAGTAATATATAAAAATTAGCTCAGCTTTGTTGACAGTTGGTGAGTTATCTTAGATGAGATGCAAATGAGGGCTTTCCAAAGCTTGACAGTGGAATCACTGAGCTGCCACTGAGCTTTGCTGCGGTTTCTGAAAAATGTGGTTTTGTAGGTTGTTATCATTGTTGTTGTTGTTATTTTATTTCTATATTGCCCAACAGCCAGTTATTTCAGGAATTTTCACTTTACGTCACATGAAACCCTGGGGCAAAATGACAACACGGCCAGCATCCTTTCAAGAGATGTCATGAATAAATTTCGGTAGGGCTAGTCCTGGACATCTCCTGGCAGTGCGTAGCCTAGATGTACTCCTGGACTCATTGAGACCATTTTAGTGTACTTGTGTTGCCATTCTTTTTCCAGGGCTGCATTTTACTTGAGCATGCCATTGATTAGACAAAGTCTGCTTCAAAACCAGTCTCGATTCCTATGCCTTGACTTGGACTTAGGAAAGTAATAAAAGGAAAAAGGGAGAATAAACTTTTGCCCTAGTACCAACACAGAGAGGTCTTCCTCAGTACATCTACAGAGTTATACATTTGGGAAGGCAGAGAAAACTGAAACAATGTGGAAGTTAATGGAAACACACCTTGCCTTCTTTAGTTATCCATCCCAAAAACCTCTGCACCTTCCTTATACTTGCACATTAAAAGAAAGAGGCAAACAAGCTGGAAAGGGTTCAGAGGAGAGCAGCAAGGATGATCCGGGGACTGGAAACAAAAGTCTGTGAGGAGAGATTGAAATAACTGGCCATGTTAAGCCTTGAGAAGAGAAGACTGAGGGGAAATATGAGGAAAGCCAGGCTCTCTTCTCAATTATTCCAGAGCGCAAGACACGAAAATAACAGATTTCAGTTACAGGAAACCAGATTCTAGCTAGATATCAGGGAAAAAATTCCTCACTGTCTGAGCGGTATGGCCATGGGACCAATGACCTAGGGAGGCAGTGGGATCTCACACCATGGAGGCATTCAAGATGCAACTGCACATACACCTGGCAGGGGTGGTTCAAATTGGTGTCCTGCACTAGCAGGGGGTTAGACCCGATGGTCTTTCTTGCCCCCTTCCAACTCTACTATTCTATGATTTTATGAAAACAAACACACTTCCCTGCAAAACAACTATCCAGCATATCCAGTAGGACCTTACTTCCCAATAAACAACTTTTCTATGTACAGAGAACTGTTAACGTAATGCAAAGGAGCACTTTAAAAAATGTGGCAGGACAGTCCATTCTATGTCCTTGGGACTTTATAACCTCGTTCCCTGACCATTCTGCTGCACACGCCTCTCACCCTGGTCTTGTGTCTCACTCAAGACTTGTCCACAGTGCACTGCAACTTCTTCTGATATTACAAAAGCCGAGAATGGAACCAGGCATGCGTGAGTTTAATAAGCACGCACTCACCATGCTTCTAGAGAGGTGTGCTTTTCGTGCCAAACTGAGTGTGGAAAGGAGGAAGCAAACCGTGCCCTCCTTCCTCACCTTACCTTCTATGCTGGAACTTTTTCAGCTGTTTTCACCAGTCCAGTTTGTTTCTTTTCTTGGAGCTGAGCCAGGAAAAACAGTGAAAGCATCCCAGTTTAGCAAGATAAGGGGGTAGGATTTAACAAACAAAAAAGTAAAAACCTTATTTTCTAAGTATATCCCAATGGGCAAGAAAAATTGTATTAAACCGGAAATGGATTTTTTCCATTTTTTTCAAAATTTCCAAAAAAATTTTCTTGATTTTTTCTTTTTTTCTAGAACCTCAAATTCTGCCAACCAGAGACTGATGAAAGGCGCATATGTTTAGAATTAAAGAATTCTGAGCCCCAGAATTTGTTCTGAACCATAGAACTAAGTGAAGCTCACACTCCTTCCACCCCCAAATCTCTTCTACTTTCTTAATTCCAGACATACAATTTAGGTGGGACAGAATCACTTTCATGCTGCTATTTTTAAGCAGTTGGTAATCCAATGTTCTTGATGACCTACTACAAATCTCCCAGAGATCTTTCTGCCTACCCGTTAAACATAAACACATCACATTTGGCACAGATAAATACACACTTGATTTCTTCAGCAAGTTATCTTTTGTCTGAGCATTTTGAGCATCCATACCTATACAAGTATCAATATAAGTTTTACTCATCACGACAGCAGTGGAATCCCCATTAATGATGTCCAGAAAAAAATCAGCAGGGTTGTTATACGGTTCACATACATAACCTGCAAAGTAAAGAGACCTGATTTGTACATACGCATAGTCTGCAAGTGAAGGTGAGTTATGGAAAACGCATGTAGACATACGTGTGTGTGAGAGTGTGTGTGTGTCTGTGATAGTGTTGTAGCTAGTGTTGGACTAGAACATGGGACATCCAGGTTCTAGTCTTCCCTATACCATGAAGCTCTCTGAGTAACTGGGCCAGTTGCTGACTCTCACCTTAATCTACCTCACAGTGTTGTTGTAAGATAAAATGGAGAAGAGGAAGAGGTTTATGTCAGCCTCCTTGAGTTTCTTGCAGGAAAAACAGGAACAAATATAGTAAGAAATATGGAATGAAATAAATGATAAGTTAGTAGAGATAATGCGGATCATCTACCAACTGGTCTGTTGTTTCTGTTGAGGGGTGAAGTCTGCTTCCCACCACCTTCACGCATCAAGCAACATACTTTCTCCCAAATACAATTTCTTTTTACCCTCTTCCCTGTGCTTTAGCAATGTCTGGCTGATTACAAAACACACGCGCACACAAGCCCCTTGCAAGAGTATTTCAAATGTGTGTACAAAACCTTATGTTTCCAGCATGAGAGACAGTATGATATAGTGGATAAAAATGTGGGACTGGGACGCAGGTGATCTGGATTCTAGTCCCTGCTCAACCATGGAGCCAACTGGGTGGCTTTGGGCCAGTCTCAGACTCTCAGTCCAACCTACCTCACAGGGTTGTTGTTGGAGGATAAGAATGAGAGCAGGAGAAGGAGGAGACTGATGCAAGCCACTCTGAGTTCTTTGCAAGAAAAAAGGCAGGATATAAGTCTAATAGATAAATAAATAACTACTATGACTTCAGGGTTTCTTCATGTGTAACTCTGCTCCTGTCAGAGGTCCATGAAGTCAAAAAAGACAGCCAATCAGCAATGTCTACAGCCAGACATGCTGGAAACGGGGGGTGCCGTTATATTCAGTCAGCAGGGGAGGCCATATGCTTGACTCTAATGGATTGTGTATGGTCCCACTGAGAGTCTGATCTCCCCTTTCCTACTGGGCTTTTCTGCACACATTAGAGATGCCAAAACTGGGAATCTCCATTTAAACTGAAGCTTCAAGCTCACATTTATACTTGAGACAAAGGCAAACTCCTTCCTTATATGCCATCATGCCCCTTAAGATCTGCAGGAGAAGCCCTGCTCTGGGAACCCTCTCTAAGAGAGGTAAAAAGTTAATCAACTCGGAGTAGGGCCTTCTCTGCAGTGGCGCCCAGACTCTGGAATGTACTTCCCAGAGAGGAACGCCTGGCGCCAACTTTATACCCTTTTCGGTGTCAGGCCAAAACCTTTTTATTTAAACAGTATTTTAAAATTTAACAACTTTTACCCTTCAGTCGTTCTGTTTGTTTTGTGATTTATTGTTTTGTTCTGTTTCTATTATTTATTAGAAATTGTTGTCTTAATTGTTCTTTCAAATATTGTAAGCCGTCCTGAGATTTTTGTATAATAGGATGGCATACAAAAGCTTTTAATAAACAAACAAACAAACTACAGACAGGAGAGAGCCTGGTGTTTTGAAAGGGGCTTGCCAAGGAAGTGCTGAAATGTCCTGCTGAACCAGCAGGTGACACACTAAAGAAGTTCTTTGGATCCCAAGCCACTGGGGCTTAAATGTGACATATATCCACAGAAGTTTGCGGGGGACAGATATCAGGCAGTGCCTGATTCAGACCCTACAAGGATGGGGGACCTGTATCCAAATGCATGTTTACTTGTCTTATCCTAAAATATTGGTTAAAGTGTCTTTCGATTCCTAATTTCTTACACAAGACTAGGGAAGCTCCATAACATACATAGCCAAATGCAGTGCATGAAAACTCACCGAGGCTTTTAAAGTACCTAAGGGTGTTATCAGCGGGGCCGTGGTACAGGAGCTTTCCATCAGCAAGCAGCGTCAGCGTGTCAAACAATTTGAAAATCGAGTACCGGGGCTGATGGATGGAAAAAATTATTGTTTTCCCTTGCAACGACATCCTGAATGCAACACAGGAAAAACAATTCACTGCTGAGAGCACAAATGCTCCGAACCATTCATTAGGCACATAAACATAACTTTAAAAAATAACACTGGGCTGCAACTTGTACTTTAAGCAGACAGAAAAATTGCTTACAGACACGGCCAGCCGCCTTGCTCACCCCATTTAACCCTTTTCCATGCTCATTTAGCATCCTTGTCTTCCGACCTTGACATGCCCCTTCTTGAAGGAAGCAGGTATGACATACAGATAGGCTATATATTAACAGAGATCTGAAAGTGTAGCAGTGACCCAGACACTGACAGCAATTTGTGCTGGCCGAGGAGGTATTGTGCCCTAACCACTGACCATGACAGCCCTGAGCCCAAGAGGCCTGGGGAGCCTCATCCTGGACCCCACAGACTGTAGCCCTTCAGCCCAGTTCCTCAGCTCCAAAAGCCGGCACCCCTCCTTGCTGCTATATCAGTGGGGGCAGCTCACCAGGCATGGGCTAACGGTGAGACAACAGGAGCGCTAGGCTCCAGACCAGGAGGCTGCCCCTTTAAGGTTCTACTTCTTCAGTGGGGGGGGGGCAGGGGGGGGCTGAGATTTATAAATAGCTCTAAGACTGAGCACAAAAGGGCTTAGTCTAGACTACACTCTTGTCAGGAACAGCCTGCAGGCCCTGAAAGACTGACCGCCAGCCAGCCTTGCTTTTCAGTCCTCTCTTTTTCCCTGTCAGCCTGCAGAATTTCTGCTGTCCAGGTCTGACTGTGAGCTCTGCTTTAGCAAGACAGGACCAGTCCCTAGGCATGGCTAACCAGCTACAGCTCTCCACAGGCTTAAGAAACAGGGATTCCTTCCTGGGCCGTACAGAGGGGTCTTCCTACAGAGGTCTCAGCCTTCACTGTAGAAATTAAGCACTGCCCCGGCAGCATCCTCAGAGCATGGGGTGACTTCCTTGCTCGGGGGCTTCTGTTAAACCAGCATCAACTCTGATTCTGGTAGCTGGGCCATCACTGCTTATTTTGCCTACCAGACATCCAAATCTTAAGTTATTCACAGCCACATAAGAAAATCTCGAAATGAATCAGGGCCAGATGGCAGAAGCCCTATTTGCTTAGGCCAGTGGGGGACCACAGGTGGTGTAGAGACCACATTCCAGCCCCCAGGGAGCCTTACTCCTGCTGCACCCAAAAAGTTGGGCGCTGGCCAACTTGCTACCAAAGCACTGTGGAGACTCCAAGGGGTCGAACCTGGCTTGGAAATGAATTAAATTGCGGCTTTTTCCAGTCTTCGTAAACTGCCATACACATTGCCAGCGTCTGGCCAAATTTCGTCCATGTGGGCAGCACTGGGGGCGGCACGAACCAGTCGGGGTCATGTGAGCACGTGCTGCCCACCACTGGTCAGCCACAACAATGCATCAAACAGGGAAGGTTGCAATCGTTGAGCCGAGGGCAAGGCACACAAGAGAGGGAAGCTGTGTTACTGCTTGGCCCTTTGAAAAACACAAATAAAATGGCATGTAGATGTTTGTTCCAGTATTAGTGGCAGATATGCAGGTTTTGTACTTCGCTACAGGCAGAACATCAGAAAAGAAGAGCTGCTGGGGAAAGTAGATCACGGTAGAGACAGGCTCTCTCCCCCACATGCTTTTATCATGCACATTCCAAGCAGTATCAATAAATGCAGGAGGGACTCCAGCTGCCACGCTCCATAAAGCAATCGTAATGCTTACTTTATTGGACGGAAGAGGAGTACCTTTCCTGTATCTGACATACAGCACCTTGAGTGCCTGAGAAATATCGCTTCCTCAAAACAGAAGTGTAACTTTGGGAAGGAAGACAACCTAACTGAAAAACACCTTGAACATTTATTGCGCAGAAATGCCCATGGAAAAACAAAGGCAGGAGAATCAAAGAATATGATCATCAAAAAAAGTTCAAGCTAAGGAAAAAATTATTACTTTTTTAAGAGCAGCAACACGGCATTGGCTGTGCTGGCATCCAATCCGGTTGTTGGTTCATCTAAGAACAACACTCTGGGGTGTGTGATGAGCTCTAAGCCAATGCTGGTCCTTTTCCTCTCCCCACCAGAAACTCCACGAATAAAATAGGTGCCAACCTAGTACAGGGAAGGAAATGTCAAAGTGAGGCTCTTGCACTGTAGCAACATTCCTGAAAATGACCCAGAATGTCAAAACCATATAATACCTTTATTAGGGCAAGGAAAGATCACAAAAAGTGTGCATTTTTTATTTTATTTTTTTTTATTTTTTTTTGGAGGGAGGGGGAGAAAGCCTATTGGCATTGATGCCACAGGGTCTCTATCAGAGTTCCCAAGGAGAAAAAAGGGACCACAGATACTGAAATCAGAGGGTCATGTGATGGTCACAGGTCAAACCTGGCACAGCTCCCCAGGCGACCAGGAACAAGAAAGGCAGAAACATCAGACCTCTCATTTTTTTTCCAGTATGGCTAATAAGGCAGCCTTTATTTTTTGTGTGACTTGGAAAATTACTTCCATTAGAATAAAATGCTTTAATGGTGTTTTAATGCTTAATTAATGAATGGATAATATTTATTAACACAGTTTTGGGGGGCAGAGAAAATTGTCCAAAGTGAAGGAGCTGCAATGTAGGACAGTCTGGCCCTGTCCATTGGTGTCGGAATGAAGAGTCCCTGGGAGACAGAAAGTCCCTGCCTCTCAGAAGGAACATCATGGCAAGGTCAAACCATCCTGGCCCCACACAGTGGCCACAAGAGAAACAGTCACACAGTGCTGGCTTTCCTCTCCACCAGAAAGCTCCAACGCATACCAGCCCAGGGCCTGCAGAACTGAAGGGCAGAATACCCTTGTCTCAGACATTAGCCAGGAGATGAACGGGATTCAGGCTGTGGTGTGCAAAGCAAAAGGAGGTTACTCCTTTCTCTCCATGCTGCGACCCCCATAAAAATCGCTCCCAGCCAAAGCTGCTGTTTGCCAAGGAGGGAAACTGAAAGTTGATGTGCAGTAATATTAAATGACACTACATTCATACATACCTTGGAATCTGCAACTTTGGACAAGTCCAGTTCCTTGAGGACCTGTTCGACTCTCTCTTGTTTTTCCTCAAAGCTCATAGATAAAGGTAACCGAAGTGCCGCTGAGAACTCTAAATTTTCTCTGACTGTCAAAGTTCCCATCACTATGTCATCCTTAGAGATTTGGGGAAGGGGGAAATAGAAGTTTTCATCTGAGCATCATACTAGGCGATATCACTATTGCCATGACCCTGAGCTGAACATACTATTGCATTTTGTCAAGTGGAGTGGTATTTTTTAGTATCTTGCTTGCTTCCTAGATGGCACTGATGGTCACCAGATATTCTCAGAGCTAGCAGAAGATCCCCATGCAAATAACATTTGAAGGCTACAAAATACTGATTTGATGAACACGGAGCTCTGGGCCCTACTAGTTTGCAACCGTGCATTATCAACCGACCCTAGAAAGAGAAACTGCTCATTGTTGCTGAACAGCTGGTGCAAGAAAACCGCCTGGCATAGCAAATGGAGAGAAAGGGGGACTGCAAAAGGCGATTACTTCACTTTGGAGAGAATGATGGATTCTGCAGATTAGCAGTCAGGTGAAGTGCTGGCTTGCACTCCCATGCTTGACTTTACCTTTGTCATTAAGCAGCAATTACAGAAACGATGTAAACTTTTGACACTTTCTCCTCAGAGAAGGCACAAGATGTGGCAACTCTGCTCAATCTAAGCCACTTTGAGTCTGGCCTGAGTCTGGGAGGGAGACTGCCTAGCAAATCTCATGTGCGCTCCCTTTACTTTCAGGAAGTAAGGAAAGCAAGATGCCTACATGTAAGAACACACTTTTAAATGCAAAACACAAAACACCCTGATGACTACAGAGGGAAAGTAGAGTTAAAAATATAGTAAGTGCAGACTTTATTTACCTGTACTACATATCCAGAAATACATTTAAAATGGGAAGGCAGAGTGATGCCGTTTATCAAAATATCCCCTGACAGCCCTGCAGGATCTTTCCTTGTAGCTAAAATGTCCAATAGCCTAGAAGGAAAATAAAGCACACCAGAGTAAGGCTATTCCTGCCAATCTGAAGATAACACTGATGAATCAATTTAAACTTCCACATTACTGATTTGAATTGAAGCTATTCTGAAAATAGGTCTTACATTTACATTGTTTTCTTGTTAAATATATCCATACCCAACCATGGCAGGACCTCAATTATTGATGGCTGGTATAATAAACTTTTTGCCTTTTGGTATTGTCCATGGGAGAAATATCAACAACCTCAGATATGCAGATGATACCACTCTCATGGCAGAAAGTGAAGAGGAACAAAAGAGCCTCGTGATGCAGGTGAAGGAGGAAAGCGCAAAAGTTGGCTTGAAACTCAACATTAAGAAAACTAATATCATGGCATCCGGTCCTCTCACTTCCTGGCAAATAGATGGGAAAGAAATGGAGGTAGTGACAGATTTTATTTTCCTGGGCTTCAAGATCACTGCAGATGGGGACTGCAGCCAAGAAATTAAAAGACACTTGCTTCTGGGGAGGAAAGCTATGGCAAATCTAGACAGCATACTAAAAAGCAGAGACATCACCCTGCCAACAAAAGTGCGTATAGTCAACGCTATGGTTTTCCCAGTTTCAATGTATGGCTGTGAAAGCTGGACCATAAGGAAGGCTGAGTGCCGAAGAATTGAGGCCTTTGAATTGTGGTGCTGGTGGAGACTCCTGCGAGTCCCTTGGACAGCAAGGCGATCAAACCGATCAGTCCTAGAGGAGATCAACCCTGACTGCTCTTTAGAAGGCCAGATCCTGAAGATGAAACTCAAATACTTTGGCCACCTAATGAGAAGAAAGGACTCCCTGGAGAAGAGCCTAATGCTGGGAACCATAGATGGCAAAAGAAGAAGGGGAAGGCAGAGGATGAGGTGGCTGGATGGAGTCACTGAAGTAGTTGGTGTGAGCTTGAGTGGACTCCGGGGGATGGTGGAGGACAGAAAGGCCTGGAGGAATGTTGTCCATGGGGTCACGATGGGTCGGATACGACTATGCGACTAACAATATAATAAAATTATAACAGTATTATGTTTACTATTATCATAAAACAAATACTTTTGTTATTTTAACACTTACGAAGATTTGCCAGAGCCTGTAGGTCCTAAAATTGCATTGAGACCAGGTTTCATGACACCACTACAAAAATAAAATCAGTTAGCCACTAGTCAGTTGTTTAATCTGTAAATGCATTCCATTAACTTGAAGTTTTGCTTCTTTTTCTTTCTGTAGATAACAATGATTTGGGTGAAATTGGTGAAGTCGGTGAAATCATTCAGTTATTTACACAGAACAGCATAGTACTTTCCCCTCATTTTAAAATTAAATACCTTCTTTTCATTCTGATCTAAATATCAGTAGGCAAGTTGCAGTAAATGTTCTACAAGATTAGGGATCATACAGTATAAATATTGAGCATAACCTTGGTTTGGTTCCCCTGTATCCGGCTTCTCAGACCTGGAACTCTCCAGATGTTCTGGCGTGCAACTCCCAGTTTCCAGCCAGCATGGTCATGTTGGTCTCCATGCTAGCTGGGAATTACAGCCATTGCGGTCTAATGGCTGGGCTCCACATTACAGGAAGGATATAGCCAAGTTAGAATCGGTGCAGCATAGCGTCACAAGGATGGTGGCCAGATTGCAGGGGAAGTCATATGAGGTTAGGCTGAGGGAACCGGGTCTTTTCAGCCTGCGGAAGAGAAAACTCCGAGGGGATCTGTTGGCAACATATAGGTATGTGAGGGGGTGGGTAGAGAGGTGGGTAGAGACCTGTTTTCCCCTCTGGAGGAGGACAGGACGTCAAGGTTCAATTTGGATGCCAGGAAGCACTTCCTGACAGTTAGGAACCCAAAGGTATGGAATGGGCTTCCACAGGAGGTGGTTAAAGTCCCAATGGTGAGGGCGTTTAAGGGTAGGCTGGACATGCACATGGTAGGCATGTCATGAGTGGAGCTGGCTGGAGCCAGGGGTCAGACTAGATGGCCCAGGAGGCCCCTTCTGACTCACTCTGTTTCTATGTTTTCTATGTTAATACATCTGGAGGTCACCAGGCTGGAGAAGGCTCCTCCGAAAGCCTCAAATCCAAATTTTAGTTTTATAGAGCTCCAGGTGAGTTCTGGGCACTGTTAAGGCTGGCAGGGTGGAAGAGGCCCTTTTCACTGGGGTGCAATCCAGTGAAAGGCTGTTCCACACAAGTCTCACGGAAGTTGCACAAAAACACAGCAGGGCTTTGGCACAGCTCCTGCTGCCTTCAGTAACGCTTGAGCAAGAGAAGCTCTCGCAAAATTTTAAAAAAAAATCTTTATATTGATTTCAGGCTCAAAAAGGCATTACATCAAAAGCCTATCAGCACATGCTGATCTCATTTCATCCATTTGCACATGGCAATAGACCAGTTCCACTGGAAGCTCTGCACTTTTCGATCATGCCTTAATTAGGATAGCTCTTCCATAGAACCTACTTTTGCTGAGCAACCCTGGGAAAATCAGATTGCTAATCCCTCTTTCAAGGTGAATATCCTCTCAGATGGAGAGCAATACCAACCAATGCAAAACGACAAAGGGACAGCCAAAGCATTACATTCCAAATCAGCAAACTGCATCAATTAAGTTACCTGATATCTGACAAAATAATTTTCTGAACTTCCTTTCGAAAGCCTATGTAGCCGGTCTTAAATTTCACTTTGTAGGAGATCTTGTGAAAGGTCATTGTGCTGCCTGTAGAACACGCGGTGTCTGGGAAAGTAAGCCTTCTTTTCTGGAGCATGGATGTATTTTCTTCCTCCTCTGACTTCTGGTTTCGGTCAAACTTAACTTTGGGGATCATGATACCACTTGTATTAAACAGAAATGGGAAAAAAATCAGAAAAGTCACTGTAAGCCCATATAAAATAAGAGAATCAGGAGCAACTCATAACTGAAGAATGGACGCAGTATGAACTCAGGCACTACCATCAGCTGCAGTTCAGCTCTTGCAAAGACAATCTAAGGGAGAAAGTCTGCAAAACAGGCAGCTGTCACACTGAGTGTAAGTTCTCCACCGTTCTTTACTTCCCTAATATATGATTGATTTAGATCACTGATGACTTAGTATTTTAACCATGATTTTATTTATTTATTTAATAGCCCACTGAATAGCCTGACAGACTATTTCTTCATTCACATGAAAAAAAAGCATCAGTGGAGATACAACAGCTTAAGAATTTCTAATGCAGCAAGTCCACCGATCCCATCAGAGATCACAGCACTGCAAAATGTCCTACAGTCTAACTCTCTGCTTCTCAGTGTGTTCCTCTCTCCTTCTGGAATGGTGGCAGGTACAATGTAGGTTTTGAGGATGGGCTAAACATACTGCCTATTCCAACACACATGCCCTATTGTCACAACTGATACATAAATAGGGCTTGAATGTGTGTGTTTCATGTGGTTATGTCTGAATGGATATGAGCGCATATGAGAACGTGTGGTGGACTCACCCACACAAGCTTTGGTCCTAGCCCACTGTTTACAAGGGCTTCAGCCACTGCTAGGATGCAGTCCCTGGAAAGTCAGCCATTGAGAAAACCGCTGCTCTGGCAATGGATCTATTCCATGGGTTTCTGTGAGGAAGATTTCTATCATTCACCTTTGTGACAGGTTGTTCATATGCTGAAGATGGAGCCTCCATCAAACCTAAACAATGCCCCTTATTTTAGTTTGCTTGTGCATCCGATGTTTCCCTTGCACAATAAATACCTGCCCATATGCTGCAATCAACCTCAGAGGCCTCGCTCTGTACTCTATTAGAACAAAATGAGAAAGAAGGCCTCTCTGCTGTGGTCCCAAGGTGGCCTTCCCAAGAGAGGCCCACCTGGCTGCAGCAATGGAAATGTGGAGGCTCACCTGTGAAACAAGCAATGGAAACCTATCTGCATTATTTGCCTGTTCCTGCACCTATTGGATGACTTGCAGCTCCTGATAATAGTTTTAAATCCTTCTGCTTATTTCCTCTGGAATTGTTGAAAAGCTGCTGTTTCAAATATTTTATCTTAAACTTTTTTAAAATTGTAATGAGTCATAGTGTCACATACCTTGATCCCTATGTAACCTGTTCTGAAAACGTTTGAGGAGAAAAGCAGGATCTAAAGATATTAAAATAAATAAATTAACAATTTAATTAACTTCATTTTTTTCCATTTAGGACACAATATTACCAAGCTGGAGCACTCTGGCACATCTGAAACCCAGCCAAGGAGGAGGAGGCTTTCTCTGTTCTTTCTCTATTTCTTTTTTGCATGTTGCATAACCATTTCCCTCCAGTAATTTACAAGGGAAACAGTTAAATCATCTAGAAAATAATTTAGATCAGCTCTAAATGTTTCCCTACATCAGAGGCAGGGTTTGGTTTTGGCAGGACTTTAGAGCCAAGCATCCCTATTTTACTCACCTCACACACACCCAACCCCCACACACCTCTTCATTTGCTGCCTCTCCAAAATCAGAGTTGTTTGAATTGGAGCTATTTTTATGAAAATAGGAATAGGATCTGAGATCAGAGCTCTGCCTCCAATTTTGGGAGGCAATTCCTTCTCTATCCTATGGCCTCTGGAACATCATCCCAAAAGCCATGGGACTGTCCTGTTATTTGTGAAATTTTTGTACTACAGCCATTAAACAATTGACTGTTAAGCAAATGTTTCCAGCAATTGCTGGTGTGTTTCAGGATTGTCCTCTGTTGTTTTCGAAGATGTCGAAGATGCGCTCCCCATATATGATGCTGATGTGATGGGGAGTCACACTCACATACCTGCACATGTTTGCACACATGATCTGTTTAACAGTTATAGACCACTATATTTGCTAAAAAATCTTCAATAGGGTGTACAACTATTTAGAACAATAAAATTGTGATTTTTTTTACAAAAAATCAAAAGCAGTAAAATGTTAAAACAATGGCATAAAAGGCTAATTTAGAACATGTCATTTTGATTAACTCATACACATACCCAGAGAGAAAAAGAAAAAGATCCAGCAATCCTGACAGAGGGTGCGCTTTCCTCATCAGTAGCAGCAGCAGGAAAGAGCCCCCTTGGAGGGGGCCTTGGAGGTGTAGGAGGGGGGGCATTCGGTGGTGGTGAACAAGGTGGCCCTGGGGCTCAGGTATCCTTGGGGTCACAGGAAAGTGCCAAATCGCACATGCTCCAAGTCTTTCTCTCTTTCCTTGTTTCAGCATCAGCAAACAGTGGTTTGGCCAGGTTTTTGCTTTAAGATATCAGGAACTCAGCAGTAGCAAAGCACAGAATGGCTGGGGGGCAGGGATACCGGCAGAGAGCAATTGGCACACAAGTGCTAATTGTTTGCTTCGCAACCAAAGTAGCACCCAGCAGCTCCCTAAAACTCCTAAGCCCAGGGTCTCAAAATACCTATCTGCATCACCCAAGGCCTTTTTTCTGAATCCAACTCAGTGCACCTGCAGAGATGTGCAAGAGGAGAGAGCTCATTTTCATTGGGGGACTGGCAGCTCCCACATCGGCAGGGCTGTGTGCCCACTCCAGATTTCCCTGCAAACGTTTAAGGAGTTATCCACGGGTCCCGAACCTATTTTGGAGATCGGGTGGGAGCGGCATGAATAGCTCCTGAAAAGTTCGGGGTCAACGCTGGGGCGGACACAGCCCCAAACTGAGAGGAGAGGAGAGCAGAGCAGAGCCGCCCGGGAAAAGCTAGGATGGCCCTCGCTGGGCTGTTGAAGAAGGCCCCGTCCCCCCACCCGCGACTCCAGAACCGCAGGCGCGCCTTCCGCGATCCTGCCCGTGGGCCGCTGCACAGGCCGTTTGGAGGAAGCCTTTCCGACCCCTCCCCTCCTCCCCTCCCCATTACCCAGCGCGAAGGTGCTGCTGCTGCGGAGAGGCCAGCCGTCCGGCAGAGGCGCTGCGCATGCGTCGGAAACGGTGCCCGCCGGTGCGAGGGGCGCCCAGGTGAGCGTCGCAGGTGGAGGCGGCCGAGGGAGCGCCGGGGCCCCGTTCCGCGCGTCCCTTCCCCATCTCCCCGCGCGGCCTGGGCAACCGTTGCCCGCGTTCCAGCGTTCGCCGCCGCCCGGCCGGTGCCAGCGGGGGCGGCGGCGGCGGGAGAGCTGCAGCGCGCCGCGGGGCGAAGCGGACGTGGGAGCCCGGCGCGAGAAGTCATCCTGGGCCCAGCGCAGGGCTGCCGACGGGCGCCAGCCGCCCCGGGGCCGGCCGCGCAGGCTTTGCGCCCGCGGGCAAAGATGGCTGCCCCGCCCCGGTGTCGTTCGTACAGTTTTGCATAATTATCTGTCCGGTGCAACCGTCGTGGATTTCAGTGCCTTGATTCCTTTGGTGCACTGCTGACCCTCAGCAGCCTGATGCTTTATATTTTTGTTGAATTCTTTTCCAGCCTGGCTTGCACACTTGCATGTTTACAGAACCACGTTGTTTTCTTTTATAAGAGGCCTGGCTTTGATAGATTCTCGCTCGGAATCAAGATTCTGCCTTCATAGTTCTATAACTCTTTTCAGAGTAATCCCAGAATCACTCAGTGTGTGCCACTTTTAACACCTTGAGTTTTAATCTGATCTGATCTTTTTTTGAAAGTCCACAGGCCAAAAATTTTACCTAATGGTGAACTGGTCCTTTCTTATGGAAGTCTGCCAAGTATATATTGAGAAACGTGTACCAATGGAAATAGTATAGTAGACTCAGTTAACCAGCACCCATGGAGATTGTTAAATTTCAGATAAATGTAGTTTCTGATTGCTTGAGAGTTAGTATTAAAAAGTAGGACTAATACTATACTCCATGCCATGCCATGCCATAAACTCTATATTGACTTGTTGTTAATACTGAAATACAGTAATGAAAAGCAAATTAAGACAAATAAAGACAAACTTCTGAGACAGCCTTAATGTCAGCTGGTTGACAAATACATAAATTCCTCCAGCACCACACAACTCACACCTTTCTCAAGTCTCTTGCATATTTCCATCTTCTGCTTGAGGGTAAGCACACAAAATTTGAATAACAATAGATCCCAATGATCGGTATGTTTACACACAGTGAATTGGCAGGAGTAGGAGACAAACTTGTGGGCTTGTTCACGGTGCACCTGTTTAAACATACATTTCTGCTGGAAATTGATTTTATTTTTATTTAAAGTATTATTTCTTCATTATTTTTTTGCAGGTTGCTTGAGAGTGCCAGTTCCTGAAGTTCTGATTAACCATGGGTCTACTGTAGATTTTTGAATGATTTATTTCATTGTGGTTTGGCTACATCTTTAAAGCTTATTTTGCCTTAATGCTGAGGATATTACCTCACAAATGCTCAGGACATTTTACAGACCATTGTTTATTTATCTTAACGGAAAACCAGGAGACATCAATTCAGTGGATCAGATACAATTTATTTCAGAATATCTACAGAAACAAGGTGCAAACAAATAAAAGTAATAGACAGTAACTGTCCTCAGACTTACAGTCTTACATAAAATGTTGGTTCATAGCAGGGGTGGGCGACTTATGGCCCTACACTCTTGTCTTCCCTCATCTCTCACTAGAACATGTGAGTGTGGTAGACTGAAACTCTGGAGAGCCACAAATTGTTCAACCCTGGCCTATAAGAAAAATTTTTAAAACCCTTGCAAACTATAGAGTTGGGCCATACTTTTATTACAACCAAGTTAAAATGTCATACAGCAGCAAGCAAGTTTTTTGAGTCCTGCAGAACTTCTCATCAGTCCGGGTGGGGTTTTCTTCTTCCTTCCCGACCACCTAATTGTTTGGACCACCCAGCCAGATAAAGCATCTTGAAGCCATTCTATGACATTTTGGTTGGTCTTAAGGTATTGCCCAACGATGGTTTTGGAAATCTTCAGTAAGGAACTCGACACACAAGGGATGGAGGTAGAAAAGTGAGATCAGAGTATGTTGAGGTGACGCTGCAAACAGTGCAGTGCCAGCCCTCAGCTGATGAGCTTTTCCCACACAGCCTGAGCCTGGGATGAGGCACAGATGCTACCCTAATGGAAAGCAAATCTTTATCATTCTTTTAGGTAGTGGGTGGGATTAATCCTGGATGTCTGTTACTTGATTGCATTTCAAGGAACATGATCATTTGCTTAAAGTTTGTATAACAAGCAATTATCCTGCAGCTATTTGGTTATATTTCATGCGCTAAAATTCTTCCATTCATACGATGTTTTAATATAAACATTTGTCTATTAAATCTAAGGCATGCTAACTTGGTGGGAAGAAATAAGGTGGCATAAATACAACAATGCAATGAAACATTAGTGTTCATTTTGTATGTGTGGGCAAGCCGGGATGGCCCTATTGGCTGTCACCTTGCAGCAGATGCTGCGAGGCAGGAAGTGGCCATGAGGTCTTGGAAGACAGACCTGCAGCCTGTCCTGAGCACCCTAAATTAGCCTTTGATTCCCAGATGCAGTGGAGGAAGCTGCCCCATTGGTGGTGTTGAAGTAAGATTCAACTACCAAGTTGCATACATGGAATTGGGAGTGGTACCAACTTGCCTTTCATCTTGAGCAGCAAAATGTTTTGTGGTGGCTCTGTGGCCAAGTTCATGTAGATAGAAAGCCATAGACAATGAGGCAGAGGATTAGAAAAGTGAAAACAGTCATGTTCAGAGAAGACATGGAAGGCCCCACCTGAGGTTCAAATATTTGAAGTGACATCTGAAAAGGGGAGGCCTTTATGCATGTATAGCTGCAGACTCTCTTTTTCAGGGATTGTGTCAAACATGGGCACAAGGCAGGGGCCATTCCTCTTTTCAGTCATTCATTGAACACACAGATGGGGTTTCACAAGTGCTAATCTGTGCACCATGTGCTGAACACACTCAATGTGCTAATTTGTGCACTGCATCCTGTCTGTCTAGAGCAGGGGAAGAGAACCTGGCACTCTCCAGAAGTTTTAGATTACAATTCCCATAAGCCCTGGCCAGAATTTGTAGTCCAAAACCCCTGGAGCACAGCAAGTCATTTACCACTGATCCAAAGTAACAATAGATGTATTTTTTTACCAAGAGAACAAAACCAGCTTTGTATTAAATGTTCAAAACTTGCTTGCTCCTAAACTGTATCTGTGGCAATATCATTATGAATCTCAAAGTGGGGCGGGGGGAGAACTTTTCAAAAGCAGTTCTATATTTTAAGAAATAGGATCCAGATAAAGTTAAACACTTAATGTCCCACTGGTTTGTGTGATGGTATTAAGCCTGTATTTAATCCTATTCCACTGCAAGCTACTGACTTGAAAGTGCTCCATCTTGATTGGATCATGCATGTTGTAAACAGCGTATCTATATTTGAGACTGCTTTTCAGACTTGGGGTTGCTTTGGGTAGGAAGTGCCACTAATACATTTCTCAATATAGCAAAATAATATTTAGATGCATCTAATGGAAACATTTGCCAGTGCTGTTCTTGTTCCGTATATGTTTAATCAAAACATGAAAATTATTCATAGAAAAGACCAGTCTCTTCAGCCTGTAATCCTCCGGATATGTTGGACTACAATTCTCATCATCATGCCTGCTGTAGGTGATGGGCACCAGGCTAGCACATCTGGAGGGAACAGGGTTGAGGAAAACTCTATAGCATCTCAAGGAACCTGACTCACAGGAACATTTGCATGTTCATTTAAGATAACTTTTTCATGAAGCGCAACTTCATATATGAAATTGTAAGGAAGATGACCATCATGCAAGCCAGTGCAACGTGATTCTGCCACAAGCCCCATGCAGTTGCTTCAATCCCTTGACTTGCCAGATACTGTTCTCCAGTGCACCTGGCAGAGAAATACCAGAAGAAGCTGCGTGAATGAATCTGCTGTTTCCAGTGATTACAAGCTGACTTTGCGCAGAGGAAGAGGGGAAAAGAGCACAGAGCACAGGAAAGGTGCTCTTGCTTTGCGCACAGAATGGCCAAAGCTCAGTCCTGCAGGTCTCCAGGAAGGGCTAGAAAACATTTCTGCCTGAACCCTGGAGAGATTCTTCCTGCTGGTGTGGACAGTACAAGGTTAGATAATGGGGTATAAGGTAACTTGCTTTGTTTCACTGGACCACCTGACCCAAGTACCACTGAGATGAGAAATGGCCACTGGGATGGAAAATGGAAGGGCATGGAATGGGCTTCCGCGGGAGGTGGTTGAAGCCCCAACAGGGAGAGTGTTTAAGGATAGGCTGGACGTGCAAAGGAGAGGCATGTCATAAGCGCAGCAAGCTAGAGCCAGGGGTCAGACTAGATGGTCCGGGAGACCCCTTCTGACTTGCTCTGTTTCTGTGTTTCTATGGAAAAAAATCTGATTGGCTTCATGCCACCAATTCTTTGCCCTGACATTTTCCTTTCTTTTGTTTCCTAATGTGTCACATCTTTTCTTTGAGGACAGGACATGTACCATTTTATTTTATGTACCGTGCCTGGCTGTTTTAGAACTGTATAAGTAAATTCATTTGAACAGAAATGCTAAACATGTACAGCACAGATACGCAAAGTTTACCCATTGCAGACAGGCTCCCCATTCATATGCCAATAGGCCATAAGCATAATCCTAGTTTTGAGGTTATTAATTAATTTCTAATTTAAGCAGCTGCGCTTGATGGTCTGTTGGCCTTCCGTTTTCCTACCAATGCATTAAAGTGGTTTTGCACAAGAAAGCATCACACAGGAAATGGGATTTGGTTTCGGGACTCCCAGTTGGTGACTCCTCACTCAAAATGATTCAGGAGAGCATCCATTAAGAACAATACTCTCCTAACACCATTTCCCCTTTCTCTTCTGATGCCCTCTTTTTTCAGCAGGCTTTCAAAACAGTACATGGATGTGATCCGTCATCTTGCCAGGATATTGGATGCCTCCAACCTACTAGAATAACTTGGGTTAGAATTAAAAGATACCATACTTACATCTGCAAGGTGCTGACACTCGTACAGTTGTTAATTGGGTTAGAACTGCAGAAGTTTAGACCAGAAAGTTCATTAACCTGCAGTGCCTTTGAAGGTAAGAAACAAAATAAAATTATGAAACATAAGGGCTTACCTGCTTATAACTTTAACCATGTCATTGAGGGAGTTTTTTTTCTCAGTGCTAAGAAATATATTTGTCAAGACAGAGGCTGAGAGCAAGGCTTAAACCTCCCACCCTCTGTTAGCCAACCACGTTCCCCATGATCCTAGAAACCCAGTTAAGTTAATGTGTCATTAAATCCCTAGAGATTTTTGTTTAGTTGTTAGACTGTAGCTGGGTGGTGTCAGTGGCATTGCATTCTCTTCCAGCTAATGTAGGATAAAGAATTAGCACTGATCATGCTTCCCTGGCCCATTCCTCACCCCAGTTATGATGTTCACTGGGCAGTTTTAGGCAACCATCATCACGCAGCATTTCCACACCAGCTCGTCATATGAAAGCAATACATGTAGGGGGCGCACAGTGCAATATAAATATATTTAAAATACAGATAAAATAACAATAACAGATAAACCATAAAATACAATAAATACAACCATATAAATGGGAAACAGAAGGAAAATAAACACAATATGACCAATAACCAATAAAACAATAAACCAGCAGCAAACCAATAATCCAATCGCAAAACAGATACTTAATTTAAAAAAGTCTTGACTTGGTGCCGGAAGCAAGATAAAGTTGGTGTCAGTCCCACCTTCCTTGGAAGAGACTTCGAAAGGTGAGGTGTGGTGACCGAGAAGGCCCTTCTCCAGTAGTCAAAGACAGAACTGTTTGATGCTGCTTAGCATGATGCACAGGAAACTGTGATACTTACTTGCATGCCATATCGAGGGATACTGAAGTACTGGAGCCAGGAAAGCCAAGACTGTATGCTGGTGAGGTTTACCAACAACCCAGAGAAAATCTGCAGGGGGAAAACGATTGCACTTCTAAGGATGTTTGTTAGTTATTAGAATTAAATAGAGTACTGCAGTGAACACCACAAATCCATATTAGAAATAGAAAGCTATTCTCTTTCTTCAGTATGTAATGTTTTGCATCTAGAGGTCTCAAAGTAAAGTACTTAACAGAGCAGTCTTAAATGTCACTTTCAAAACCCTTTTCACTGTAGAGCTTCAGAAAAAGGCACGCCAATGTTGTAGTTTTGGCACAAATAATATATGGCCCATTTAGCCACAAAATCCTATGATTCCCAATTGCCTATTTGTCTTATTCAAAATGCAGGTTGCTAGTTCTCATCACTGTAGGAAAAACTGCCGTAACATGATTGTGACATAATCTAATGGATCCACTATTTTATTTTACTATTTATTTTATTTTTTGTATTTTATTTATTTGATGATTTTTTTTGTATTTTATATGGTATTTTAATGATTGTAAGCTGCCCTGAGGCTCATGCGATGGGGCGGCATATAAGTTGTTTAAATAAATAAATAAATAAGTTGAATAAATAAATAAATAAAGGCAAAGGGAACATGTGCGTGCTGCTACTTTTAAATGTTTGCTGTGCCAAAGGTGGGAAATAAATATGAAATCAACCCTGGGCATGCCAGCTAGCTCATGAACTTTAGGAAAAGCTTTAGGGACCTTGAGCAAACATATGGATAAATTGCTAAATATTGGCTAATCTGGCCAGGAAGAATGGGAGATGAGATTCAACAACACCTGGAAGCAGCTTGGGAGAGGCTGCCTTAACAAAACAGCAGGTAAGAACACTCACAATCATGAAGACAAAGGTGATGGTCATGAGTAGATTAGCAACAGCCACAACACTCTGTCCTGCAGCAATAGCTAGAGCCATAGAAGAAGCTGTGTAAGATACCATCATCAGCGAAAACATCATTATAAAGAAGGCCTCTACTGTTGGCTTCAGACCTTTGAAGATCAAAGAAAGAGGATGTTAGTATTTTGAGTCCCTATGTCCAGTACTGTACCAAATTGTTAATTAAAATGTTGACTATGCATAAATCAGAAATACTGCATATGTGTAATATTTGCAATAATGTGTTTTTAGTTCTTATGCAGTGCCGTCTCATCCTTCATATCAGACTGCAACCTGGAATGGAGTATTCTGAGCGAGGGCTTCGCTAGCTGCTTAAATATAGCTGAACGGGAGCATTCCACACGGAAGCAGTCTCCGTTTGATATGTGCTGCTGTGGAGTGTGCAAAATTATGCATGATATGGAGAAAGACTAGGAAGTCATTTTTCTCCCTCATCAGCATAAAGCCCAGCGTGGTGATCCCATGAAGCTGATCAGTGGGAGATTCCAGACAGATAAAAGGAAGGCCTTCTTCATACAGCATGTAGTTGAACTATGGAATGTGGTGCCACAAAGATGTGGTGATGGCCACCAATGTGGACAGATGTAAAAGGCAATTGGACAAATCCATGGAGAATAAGGCTACCTGGGTGATGGCTATGCGCCACCTCTGTATCAGAGGCAGTATGTCCCCAGGCACCAGTTCCTAGGGGACATGCGCAGACAGGTACTGCTGCATGTATGTCTTCCTTGTGAGTTTCCCACAGTGGGAACAGAACACTGGACCTGATGGGCCCTTGGCCCAATCCAGCAGGACTCTGCGTAGATGCTTAACAAAAGCATACTTGCCTATCATGAAATAAGCTATGCATGTGAAGAAGATGCTTGGTAACGTCCTCATGGGTATTAAGTCAGCCATTAGCTTTGAGAAGAAGTATGCAGAAATTCTGTAATAGCCGCTGATGTACTCATGTCTAAAAGAAAATAAAGTATTACAAGGTAGAAATTCAGTCTGCAATGAGTATATTCTCAGATGTTTGTGAGTATATTATGTCAGCAGTGAATGCATTTTGAGGACAGCCATGCCAAGTATAGTAAAACCAGTAGGACTTTTGTACAGGAAGGGCTATTAATATGTATCTGCTTTGAGATGTTATAAAATGCATCACAAACTGTGGTAATGTTTCCATTTGATGTTGGTAACAAACCTCCATCATTAAACCATTAAACCACCCATAGTGTAATAGCCACTTCTGCAAATACATGGGTTCTTTCACAGTCCTATTACTTCCCTTAATCTTTGTCCCCATAACCTATATAAATTAACGTACACCACATGCAGACAGACCCAATGGTACCTCCCCTGATGGCCTTGTCAGTTTCAGGCAGGCACACCCTGCAAGAAATGGCCTCATTTATCATCATGATGAAGTGCCTTTTTTAGGACCACCCTAAAAAGGCCTCTCAAGCCCTGGTGGTTAACTGCAGCCAATGTTGCTGCCCACTTCCACGTTCATTCCACTTACATAAATATCTTCTTCTCTACAACAAAAAGTTCAATGGCAGAGATGCTGCTGAAGCATTGGTTGGTGGTCATAAAGAACATGGCACCAATTCTGCGGAAGAATACAGATCACCATGCAAATCAATTACACAAAAGTGGCCTTTGGAAAAAGAATAGTCACCAAAAGGAGTTATTTCCCCCTCTGTGCTAGTCAAAACCCAATCCTGTTTCCTACATAGGAAACTGCCTCCTACTCAATCAGACTCATGGACCATCTAGCTGGGTATTGTGGACACTGACTGGCAGCAATTCTCCATGATCTCATCTGAGCTTGCACAGGTGTTCCTTCAAGCTGTGCCTTTGGGGCACACCTGGCTGGGCTCTGATGCAAGGGCAACCCATGTGCCACAAGGCTAATGAGCCAAATTGTGCAGCACGTGGCCAGGCAATGGCCCACATCCAGGGTGGGGCAACTAACCCACTGTGACTGCTTTTCCCCAGTGATCATGTAAATGCAACTATCAAGTTCAAGACTAAGGTAGAAATACCACCCACTTTCTCCTCTCCCAGGACTCACCTGTTCTGCAAACCGCTAGCATCATCTTTTACAGAAAAGAAGATAGCGCCTACCACTAATGCCAGGAAAATTGTAACACACAGCTGAAATATAAAACACACCATAGACTTTAGAACAGTTTTATATGATCTACAGGACTGGAGAGAAATATAATCTTGGGAGAAAACGTTTTGGCAGAGTTTAAACCATGCTAAAACGTCTGAAAAGTAGTGCTATCGTATCATGGTAAAAACATAGTCTCCTGAAATAGCTTACCCACTAATAATATCACCACACATTATATTTTAAAGCAAATGTTAGTTGTTAGTCCTCATGGTTTCAGACAGAAGGTCAGCAAGATGCTTGGGAAGACTATAATCTCAGAAGCACTGTGCATGGTTCAATAGGACGTGTGCTTGCCGAGGCTGCCACACGTCTGTGGGCAGATGGTGGTGGGTTGCACCCATCACCACACACTGGATTCAGCCTTTGATACTCCATGCCAATCTCACCTTGAGTTCTGTAATCACATCCCAATAGCAGTGAGCCAGGACATGTCGGATCTCTCATGAGATTCGGTTTCTTTGCCATTCCGATTGGCTGAAGCATTAATGACCTGCTCGGAAGGTTTTTTTCCTAGATATGCCAACTGATGGGGAAAGGAAGCAGCAGCCCTTCCATTGTGCCCGCAACCCGCTGGACTTTACAATGAAAGGCGAGGACCGCAATTTGCTTTCCTCCCTCCCTCCCTCCCAATCCAGTTTCCTTTTATGCCGTGTCTTTCAGATTGTAAGTCTGCAAGCAGGGCCTCTTGTGTCTTCTTTTTGTGGGCCAACTTGGGAGGCTTTGATTTTGTTTGTTTGGCTGGAGGGCAGGATTAAAAAATAGTATATATAAAGATATTGGACCATATGCCAGAATGTAACCTTATATTTGTTGTTCTCTGGATTTTTTTCCTGAGTATCTCAGTTTGTGAGATCTGTTTATCGTCTGTTGCTTCTATATATTTTGAGTTCGGTTGCTATATATTTGTGGTTTGGTTGTTAGGTTTGCTTTATTTACATTTGGGGTGTATTTGATTTTTTCATGGCAAAATCCCACCCTGTCCATATTTACTTGGAAGGAAGTCACTCAGCATTCATTAGGGCTTTTCCCCAGGTATGTGAGCATAGCAGTTTTCTCACTTTGTCTGAAGCCACTTGGAGTTGATTAAGAGAAAATTGAATATACAGTTGAAAGAAACAACAACCTACAATTATTCCTTCTGTTTCCAGTTTGCAGGTTATGAATGCTGTTGTTTATTAGTAAAAATGCTATCACTGATGTACAAGAGGAAGGTATCAGCAGACTTGGGGAAACACTGAGCTTTGCAGAAGTACAAGAAATCTTCAGAAGAAAACCACCCAAACCTGGGTGCTCAGTGGTCAGTGGATGCTGCCTGACTGGGGGAAAAACAGGGCAGGTACAGAAAGGAAGAGAGTAATCCTAAACCTTTCCTGAATAGGGAATATTTTTCAATGCAATAATTCATTGCAGATTCCAATTTTAAGTACCAGGACGGGCAAGGCATGTGATATATGCAAGCCATTTTGCACAAGCTTGCCTGTATAAAATGTACAAATAGCAAAGGCAGATTTAAAAAGTGGGATTTATTTATTTTCTGTTGCGTGTGACCTCCTTTATGGATATGTTCTCTTTTAAACAAGCAAGGTTACTGACAAATGTCACAATATTCCAGATACACTGGCTGCTGGTTGGAGTCTGGGCATGATTCAAAGTGCTAGTAGTAATTTCAAAGCCCTAAATGGCTTGGGGCCAGGCTGTCTGAAGGATCCCTCCTCCCATATGTACAAGGGTTCTTCAAAAAGTTTCCACACTTTTTAAACTCTATTTATTAAGAATTTCAAAAATAAATTACATCACTTTTCTACACAGTCACTTTACTTTGTGATGCATTTCTCCCAGCATTGTACCAACTTTTTAATGCCATCAGCAAAAAAAATATATAAAATATAGTTATAAAATATAAAAGTGCAGAAACTTTTTTGAAGACCCCTCATACCTAACAGGAACTTAAGGTCATCATTGGGGGTCCTTCTCCAGGATCCTCTTCCAAGGGAAGAGAGGAAGGGCTGTTTGGTTGTGGTACTCCAGTTTTGGAGTAAACCCTGAAAAGAGGTGTGTCTGAGGCCTACTTTGTATTCTTTTCAGCACCAGGTGAAATTCTTTTTATTTTCCCAGCATTTTAACATTCTGAATTGAAAACTTTGTTTTTATAAATTCCATGTTATTCTGTATCACTACTCTGCTTCTGTGCTGAGTAACAGCAATTAGGGTTTTGTTCCTTTAAATTCATTTGTGTGTGTGTGTCTTTTTAACTTTTAATTTTAACTTTTGTTAACTGAGAGATCCTAGGCTATTCTCAGTGGCTGCGCCCCATTTATGGATTGTCCTTCCAAAATTAGTTCACCTGGCAGCATCTTTACAACCTTTTTGGCACCAAGCAAAAAAAGCCCTTTTCTCCAGACATTTTATTAATTGATTTTATACTTGGATACTATTTATACTGTTTTTACCTTTAATGTATTTTAACTTATTGATATCTATCCTCGGTTGCATATTTCTCTGTTTTACTGTAGATTGTTTGTTTTATTGTAGGTTGTTTTTATTATTATTTAATGAAATGTTATTTTATGAAATATTGTAATCCTCTTGGAGAGTCTTCAGACTAATATAGCAGAATATAAACTGAATAAACACACACACACACACACACACACAGAGTACAACAACCTAATGAGTGAGGAACAGACAAATTGGTTTTTGAATAACCAAGCCAGGCTTTTTAAAGTTGAAAGAAGCAGAGTTAGGAATCACATGGACTGTAGACAACAAAATGTCTTTGGCCCACATGGCCTGAGCGGTTAAGACTACACATCAAAGATTAAGTAGAAATGATTAAAATTGCAGCCAAGACAATGGTAGCAAGCAGTTTACTTCCTTTGTAAAAAAAAAATATTGTTTAAAGAAGGTGCAGGGCTTGAACGTTAACACTGGTACCACAGTGCTAAGAAACTGCCGAAAAGACAGAACGTCAGGGATAATCCAACTGCTAAGCCAATTGCGGTGGAAAGCAAGGATCATAGCAAGACCAATTTGAGAAGATTAGCAAAGAGAGCTAAACGCGCTACGGCGCATTCAGAGACTGCATTTCAAATCCAATCCTGATGAAGTTGGGGAGATCAAAACCATTGTGCAGGGGAGGGAGTTAGGACTGTTAACTCTGGGAGATTATAAAGCTTCAAAAGGGCATAATTCTTGTCACAAGGTCAAGCTTTTACAAAGCAATTAAGAGGGATCCCCATAATATCAACATACACACAGAACCAAAGGCCAGAACTTCAGGACTCTGAGGAGATTTGAGCCCTGCAGAGAGCAAAGGTTTAACAATAAATCAAACAGATCTGGTTGTGTGTCTTGCAGGAACCCACATCTATGAGCCAAACAGCCTTGGGCCTCTGCAGAACTTCTAAAAAATGAACTAAAATGGGGCTCCTTAAGCTTTCACTTCCCTGCCTCTTCTCACCTGCACTGTCCCTCCTAATTTTTCCCAGTCAAAAGTACCCACTTCTGGTTTTTTTTTTTTTTTTTTTTTTTTGGGACTCCGGAGACATTAGCTTGAGATAGGAAAACTGCCTGTGAGGAAAGGATTGAGCACCGTTGCCACCCATCCACCACTTCTCCCTCGTCTCCCTCTTCTCCCTTTCCAATTATACCCTCTCTCTGCCACAGCTTAGAGGGGTCACTGAATACCTCCGTTCCCTAAATCAGATGTGAGTGAAACATGTATTTTGACCTCAAATTTATGTAATCTGTGCCTTAATTCATGGGTTTCTTCTTGAGAACAGCTTCCCTCAGTTCTAGTTGGAGAAAAGGCAGCATTTAATATTAATAGGAATAATTAATTCTGGGGACATATCATAGAATCATACAGTTGGATGGGCCTACCAGGCCATCAGGTTTAACAACCTGCTCAATGCAGGACTAGTCACCCATCCTGATTTCAGCCCAGCGCGACCATGCTTAGCTTCCAAGATTAGACAGGATCAGGCACTTCAGGCTATATAATAATGTTCTAGATCATATGAGTACAGACTCCAAGAGAAAAAAAAAAGCAAGAGATGGGATATGGTGTGTGTGTGTGAGCGGATGAATTTAAAAGTGTACAGGCCTCAAAGTATGCAGATCAAGACCAGGTTCACATGACACAACAGCCCAGATTATAGAGTGAGTGTGTGTTCTCAGTGAATCATGGGCTATCCCTGAATCATGACACATATTGTGTGAATCCAGTCACATTAAAAAGACATGGGTTGTCAACCATGAACAACACATGAAGTTAACCCATGGTTTGCTGTGAGATTATGAGCTGGGGGTTGCTTGTGGCTACCAATGATTTGTTAGCACAATTGGATTCACACAACACAACGACCCATGATTCAAGAGCAATCCATAATTCAACAATCCATGAGTCAATGCATATTTGCCGAGAAACTCCGAATTTTTAGTATCATCCTATGCCTGACTGTTTGTTCTTTCTGAGCCGCCCCGAGGCTTCGGCGATGGGCACGGCATAGAAATGTTATAAATAAATAAATATTCTGATGTCATGTTATATTAACCCAGTCAAAGTGTGGGTGGAAGACTATGAAGGACTCCAGAATGATATCACATGTGCACCATCCAATAAAAAGCGAATATACTTATATGACTAATTCCCCCATCACAAAATGTGGACGATCACCAAGGCTGCTGATTGCAAGTGGGGTACATTCCACCCCCCCATTTAAAACATGCATCATTTGGAAACAACTGATGGGTTAGGGGCAGTTTTCCCTAACTTGATGGCTTTCAGATGTGTTAAATTACAGTTCCCAGCATCTGCAGCCAGTGTGCCCATACTAGCTGGGGATGATAAGAGTTGTAGTCCAAGACATCTCAGGTGTTGTCAGACTGGAAAAGACAGGTGAAGGGTGTGATCTGCGTCCTATATTTGCAGCATGGAGCTGTAGGGTGGTTTTCTGTCTGAACATGTGTAGGATTGTACCCTAAAATGCTTTTAAATGACTAGAATTACCTGTGCTATAGAAGCTTGAGGGTTGCCTAGCAGATTTTTGAACGTGCGTTTGGAGACCCACTTGAGCTGGTGAAAGAAGGAAGTAGAGTAGGTGATTTCTCGGAAAGCGCTTTCTCTGGTACTCCCAGAAGACAGTTTTTCTAATTCTTCTTTGGTCTCTTGGTAGAACTCAGAACTGGCATACATCTCTGCTAATTTCTCTGCCAAAGTCTTATTCTCACTGATGTCATTGTCAATGTAATCTTTAGGGGAAAGAGAGAGAGGGAAACGGGTTACATTCTATAAGACTAGCTATATCTATATGAGTTATGCTGAAGACTTCGCTCCTGCATTTGTCTGTGCCATTGCAAAAGAAAAACAAACAAAAAAAAACCCCTTGCCCAGATGAATATGAGAAAGGATGATGGAAAACTGTACATAGCCATATAAACTCTGAAAATCAGCTCAGAATTGCGAGCTGGAGAAAGCTGGAGCAGGTCTGTCTGCATGCCACACTTCTGTGGCACTATGAGCATAACCAACAAGGCAGGATTTCTGAGCTTGCAGATGGCCTCCGTGCTTCTCCTGCCCTCCAAAAGATAGAGCTGGCCAGTTTTGACTGTCTGTGTCTCTTGCCCCTTGTCTTGGGAGTACGAGCTGAAGGGCTGCTGAGATTCCCCATAGCCTGGCAGAGCCTCCCTCTCCCCTCCCTGCCTTCCCAGATGCACCCCACCACCACCACCCCCAGCACCAGCTCTGAAGTAGCATTTCCAGAGCGAGTGTGGAAAGAACTGCATTGGCTTCAGTGCATTTCCTAGAACTCCCACTGGAGCTGGGGCTCCCACTTCATCCTGAGCCATCTGGACGAGGTCTGGAGGCCATACCGTTGCAACCCATACTTTTCACACACATATGTTCATCCCATTTTCCCAACTGAAAGCTGATCAAGGCAGGTTATGATATAAACTTTGCTTTAAACCTTTTAAAAAAGGCTTTAAAAATTACAAAGCAAAATAACTGCAAGCAATAAATCCTTAGCACATTTATTTAACATGTAAACTGGTTTTCACCAACTGATCCTGTCCTGCCCCCTACAGATGAGTCTGCTCCATCTTTAGCATGCGAGCGCTTCATATTTTTAAATATCACTATCCTGTCTTTCCTTAAATCTTCTACTCTTGGATATAAACCTATGCAGCTCTTTCTACTATTTCTTATAAGATTTAGTTTTCAGAACCTCACCATTCTAATTTCCCTTCTCTGCACATACTCCAGTTTGTCAGTGTCCTTAGGATATGGCACCTAGAACTGGACTTTCAATGGAGTCTCAATAGCATGGAATAAACTAGAATAATCATTTCTCCAAATACTTTTGATTTAGCACACTCTGACTATACTAGCTTTTTTTAGCAGCATCATTTATCTGATCATGTTTATTTTGTGATCAACTAAGACACTTAGATCCTTTTCACATGTAGAATACCTGCAACAGGGAAACTGATGTCCCATGTTCTCATGAATTGGACAGCTAATGCTTGTCAAGACACAGATCTCCTCTTCTGATGTCCTCAAGGAATGGACAAGTTTGTACAAGGGGTGGTTTTCCAGATATCCTTATCCTAAGTCATGTTGCCCAGCATTCCCCAACCTAACACTACAACTCTCAGTTCGTTTAGGATACTCTGCAAGGCATGTTTAAGCAGAAAAAAGCCTCCAACTGCCAGCATCCTTCCAGCCATCCATGCTGACTAGGGAAAGCTGGAAATTGTAAGCTATTTTTCTTTCTAAATGTGCCTAGGATGGCACCTTTAGCCATTTAAAGATACCAGCTGGTGCTTGGTTGCTCTGCTCCAGCAATTATTTGTGCAGAGCAATTACTTATGCTGACACCGCTTGTCCCAGTAGCAATAAAAGGAGGCTGTATATCTTATGCACAATGATGTGCAGCTGAAAGTCTTTGTTCGCACTGCAGATAAGCATTATTTTTGGTGCAATCACTGTGCTAGCATTTACTTGCACTATAAAAATGTGGTTTCTTTTCTGTCCATTTATTTTGTAGTATGATTGCATTCTAATATTGCTGACCAACACAAAAAGTTTCATTCCTCCAATTGGCACCATAGGCAGGAACTGTAAAAAGGAAACTAGTTTGCGTACCTATATCAATTTCATCGGTCTTGTTAGAAGCCACAGCAGATGAGTCTCCATTAATGACATCCAGAAAGAAGTCAGCAGGATTGTTGTAAGGTCTGCACTCATACCCTACAGAGGAATAAAATATTTCCAGATCATTCTGCTGTTGCTGGAAAATGTATGATGAAATATTTGGAATAATGCCTTAAGTATCTATAGGGTTTTTTAAAACAACAAAACAGTTAAGTTCAAAATTGTCAAAGTGCACAAACTCTCTGACTTTTGATGCCTGGCATTCCTTATGCTTACATATGTAGGCTTGGCTTAGCATAAAATGAGGCTTAAAGTTTCTTACATCAGGACCGGGTTGCAATAAATTACCTTTGAGGTCCCATTCAACTTCCTACTCATACTAAATTATCCATGACCAATCTTTGTACCGTATTAGGAGAACAAGGGCACAGAGAGCCACTTCGGTGGATGTCCCTCATCTGTGGCATTTCCTTTGCCAAAACTTGAGTTGGAGTATCTTTCCAAAGCTTTATAAATGCAAATCCAGACAGAAGAGGCATGTGGTATAGTCCTCCCCCAACTGTGCAGAAGAAGATAAGGAGAGCCCTGATAGGTCAAATCAAGGTTCCTTCTAGCCTAGCACGGGGTTTCAGAGAGTGGGCATACAGACACCTTTGAAAAGTACAGAAGCAAAACACAAAGAACTTGGCTTGGGAGTGATGTAAACAAATAAGAAATTTTAAAAAATGCCCTTCCCAATTTCTTTCCAGTGCATCTATTACTCAGAAGTATGTACCTTCTGAATATGGATAAGCCATTTAACAGAACATGGGTGAAGACCAATAACTCTGAATGCACTCGTGTCAAAAATTCCATCTCCCATGAAATCTAAGTCTGCTGTTAGTATGCTTCTAGACAGACAACTAACTCCTAGTAGCATAATCCAAAGGCACAGTACAGTTATTCTGACCTTAATAGATATATCTGTGTCAAGAAAAAAAGCCAGCAAGAGTGGTGGGAGAACAGAAGATTGCACATGAAAGATCATGACATCTGGACCTCCTTAAAAGTCCAGGTTTGAGGCAAAGGGATTGCATAATAGAAGCCCTGCCTGCACACAGTCATGGATGTGCGATGCTTTCTGCATGCCAAACAACATAATGCCGAATATCAGTGAACACATAATTGCCTGATGTATTTTTCTTCTCCTGAAAGCAGCCAGGTGAGGCTGGGGCAACTTGGCTCAGTGCTGTGGTGCACCAAAGGACTCCCACAAATATTTCTCGGGCATCCCTTCTCCAGTTTAATATTGTCTCCCTTTTTAAGTTGCTGTTAATGTGGAAGTAATGCAGGTACAAAATGAGCACTTGTTTGCAAGTATCCACAGCTTTTAACAGGGAGAGAGATTTGCCATAAAGAACCAGAGATTCCATTTCTACTTAGGAATGTAGGAAGCTGGACTAAGGGTCCATTAGGGCTGGCACTGCTTGGAAGCAATTCTCCAAGGCTTCATCTGTGAATATTTCCAGCCATTCCTGGAGATGCCAAGGATCAAACCTGGTGCCTTCCTATGCACAACAGGTGCTCTATCACTGGGCCCTCTTAGCCACAGTTCCCCCAACCTTGACCGTGGCACCAATCCAAACTGGGCCCCAAAGCTGCCCTGAGAAGATTCTTTCACACATCATCAGCCCCTCTCTGCCCCACTCTGTGCAGTAGAGGCGCCTACCAATGGACTTGAAGTATTCCAGAGCATTCTGAGCAGGTCCGTGATACACCATTCTTCCCGTTGCCAGTAAGGTCAGTTTATCAATCAGTTTAAAGATGGAGTAGCGAGGCTGATGGATGGAGAAGATGATGGTTTTTCCCTGCCTGGCCATCCTGCGTACAGAGGAGACAGCCAGTAAGAAGGATGGGAAACGGCTAAGGATTCTGTTCAACAAGATCCTGGCACATTAGGCTGGGTCAACGTACCAACAGAAAGCCATGCTGTTCTGTTGGAGAAAGGTAGCAGACCAACCTCTAGGCTCCTTGCTGCCCCTCACATGCACCACTCTTAGAGACGGACTGTGGGGCAGCCAGCAGCCATCACCACTTGCATAATGGGCGCTGAGAGGCTCTCAGCTCGAAATATGGTCTCACCCTCTTGTTGGCCTAGCATACTGCCTCTGTTTGTGAAGTTCCTTTTGCAACTTCAACCTGCAAGTAGGTCCATAGCAACAGTTTCAGATTTGGGCTTCTTGATATTTTAGTTATTAGTTTCTGTAGTGCATCTGCTTCTATACGTTCACAGTGTCTGCTCAAGTGTACACCTGTAAATGAATATATTATTGTATATATCTTGGAACATGAGGTCAGCAGAGACTGCCTGCAGCTTTTCATGGTTTGAGAAAGGGCTCGGAAGGGATGTACTCAGTGCCACTACAGAGTCTGCTGGGCTGTGTAAAAAGGAACACAAAAGATTGCACACCTTCCTTTTTAAGCGACTGCACAGTCTGCATTTTACAGCACTTCTCCTGTTTGTTAAAGTCCGATTATGTGAATGAGTCTTGGATATGAGGCTGAGAGTACTGTAAGCCTTATTACAAAATAGATAAATGCACAAATAACATTCCATTTCTGTCCCCAGAAAAGGGTAGCCAATGTAATATTGATCGAATGAGCAGTGAAGAGTTTCCCCCCCTTTTTGCCTATTTATTAAACCTTGTTTATTTCCAGCATTTGAATCCCACCCTTTCTCCAAGAAAGTAAGATAAGCTGATAGATCATGACTGGCCCAGAGTGAGCCTAAACTTCTGGTTCTAATTATCTCAGTTACAGACTGGATCGAGATAGCAAAAATAATCTTTACTCAAGGGTTGCCTGTGAGTTGTGGCTGAACTATGTTGTCATTGACATATGGGTTATCATGTTGGCTGAACCCAGCTGCACTAACAAGCCATGACTTGCTAACCACAAACAACTCATGTTTGCTGTTGGGTTGTAAACTATGGGTCGTTCACCCTGGTTTGTTACCTCAGATGGGTTCAGACAACCAAAAATTCATGTTTCAACAACAACCCATAGTTCAATGAAAAGCACACTTAGCTTATACTTAACCACTAAGGGCATGTTATTGCGTAGTTTGCATTCAGTCTCTTCTCTCAGACAAGTCTCTAGCAATTCAGCTCTTCTGATAGGCCCCTGCTTGGTCCTGTAATGAAGTCAGAGCTCACAGAAACACAGAGCCGGCACTTTTTTGTATCACAATGTACACGGACATCATATACCACCCCCATGCTTCCCTGTTCCCTCTGAGCCTTGCTGAAATCCTCGGGTAACTGGGGGAAAATATTTCTTCCAGCAACAATTACTTTGTTTCCTGTAATACAAAGTATTTTAGGGTAGGTTGATCTTAAATTGGAAACTGGCCATTAGCGTTACAAAGAACTTCACCCTGGTAGAGGCACAGACTGCTGGAACGAGTTTGTTGATATGAATCAATCCAGTTGCCCCTATTTTTGGATTCTCTTTGGGGGACTGGGCAAGGGGACTGCCAGGATAAGCAGCTGGGCTACCAAAAGTATCTCTGCCCTGCTGTCACTGCCCCATTTCCCATCTTATGCAGAGGTGAGATTGGATTTCCTTATGGCAGTGGAACACCTTCCCATGAATCATTTTTACTGCCTCCTCCCAGCTGTCTTTTGACAGCAACTTGTACTTATTTTTTCCGGTGGACCATTGAAAGCCAAAACTGCCTGCTGCTTACCTCATGTTATTGTGCTGGATTGTCGTTGCTTTTGTTCATTTTTGTATGTTATTATTGTTCTTGTGCTCTCCTGATGGAGCTCAGATATCACCATGGCCGGACTAGGTTCAGCCATGGCAAGTGTACTTGGAAAATACAATGCAGTGGTTTTTCGTTGCCTTCCACGCTGCAGTGATACAGCCAATCATGATGGCTACCATCTCACCTGCGTCAGCATCCCTTCGTCTCCAGTTTGTAGTGACACCTTTGCGGCTCAAGGTCAGGTGGAATTTAGGGGCAATCTAATTCTTCAAGGCTCCATAAGCCTGTTGGCTAACCCCCTCCACCCAAAACGTTTTCAAGGGCTCCAGGTATTTACTGCCACATGATAGTGGTTTTATGAAGATTTGTTGTTGGAGTGGTGGCATATTGCCTGCAGAGTCACGTGCAGAGTCACGTATAGACAATTTACAATCAGTAAATGAAAAGGATAAGTAGAGCTTTGAATGCCGGCAATTCCAACATTGTCTATTACATAGCAGTGGCTCAGGTAAGAACACAGGCAGCTGCTTAATACTGAATCAGATCCTTGGTCCGTCTAGCCCAGTAATACGGACACTGACTGGGAGCAGCTCCACAGGCTTCCAGGCAGGTGTTTTTCCAGCCCTACTCTTGAGATGCTGAGGATACAGCCTGGGACCTCCTGCGTGCAAGACCGGTGCTCTGCCACAATGCTGCAGCCCTTCAGCCTCACAGCTCCTTTCATTTAAGTTGAAGTAGGTAGTGTCCTTGTATTTATTTATTTATTAGATTTATATCCTGCTTTTTTTCTTAGGAACTCAAATCAACTTACACCATTCTCCTGCTGCTGTCAGTTCTATCCCCCAACAGCAAGAGGTAGGCTGGGCCAAGAGTCCATGACTCTGTTCTGTATTCTGTGCACAGGCAAAGATGCAGGCACCTTGTCCAGTAATTACCTTTTCAGAAGCAGCAGTACAGCATTGGCTGTGCTGGCATCCAGTCCAGTGGTTGGCTCATCTAGGAACAAGATGGCAGGATCAGTAATGAGCTCCATGCCAATGTTGGTCCTTTTCCTCTCTCCTCCTGATATACCACGAATGAACTGAGTTCCGACCTAACACAAAACAAGAATTTCCATGATGTTGCCTCATATCAGATTTATTCAGTGACAAGAGGAGGAAGTCTCTATTTACCAGAGATAAGGAACATTCTTGGCCCCTGAGAGACAAACGGAGCTATTTGCACAAGTGAACAGCTCGTCATGGGTTTTTTAACCCATGGTGGGGTTGCAGTACAGCTGGGGCACATGGGGTCACCCTTCCAATATACAACCCGTGTTTGTCATGTTGTGCAAAACCACACGCAGAAGCCTAAAATGGACAGTTTGGATACGCAGCATGCACAGCACGTTGTTGCATCCAGTCAGTGTGGTCCAAAGCAATGCAAAATGAAAAGAATGAGTACAAAGAGATATTGGTAATCACATCCCCTTGAACAAAAGGACCTCCAGGGAAAGCTGCCATATGTCCACTGCCGTTCCACCCCAAAGCAGTCACTGGCTTGGTTCACACATCACAACAGGCAATACAGCATGGCTTCCATGGGTGTGTGTGTGTGTTTTGTGTGTTGTGTTTTGTGTGTTGTGTGTTGTGTTTTGTGTTTTTTGTTTGGCCTGGATAAGCCTCACAGATAATTACGTAGTTTCAGTACTAACATGGCTTGTACCCTCCTTGCTCAATCCTCCACCACTGACATGGTATGTTTGGTATACATGTTTGGTATCAGCCACCACACCTGAAATTCAATCCCATGTTGGACAGCTGGAGCAACTCCAGTGGCAGCTGCCGGGTTCACACAATCAGAGAAACCATGACAAAGAGTGAAAACCATAGAGCGGACTGTTGTTTCTTATCGTGGTTTTGTAACACCAAACATGCCCTGCTGAGATACCACAACGAGGTTTGGTAGGCACAACGGACCATCCTGTGCAAGAAACCACTGTGACTTGTTAAGTCGTGCAAATCTGCCCACTCTGTCTATCTGAGCTTTAAGAATAGTCTTCTCCATTAAGAATCAAACAAGGTCTGAGAGTCTGCTTCAAGACACGACACAGTCAGATGAAAATTTTACCCTTCAGCTCTTTAAAAGTAGAAATATGACATTCCGTAATATGCTAGTACCTTTGAATCTGCCACTTTTGTCAAGCCCAGCTCTGTAATGATCTGGTTAATCCTTTCCTTCTTTTCTTGTTCTGTCACAGTCTTAGGTAGTCGAAGGGCAGCTGAAAACTGGAAGTTCTCTCTCACGGTCAAGGTCCCCATCACCACATCATCCTGAATGATCCAAAGAAAACATGTTAGGCTTCTTCCAGGCATGACTGTCTCACACACACACACACACACACACACACACACACACACACACACACACGTGTTTCATTCTTTGCTCTATGCCAAGAAAAACAGGGCAGTCTACTCTAAGCATGCACACACAGCCAAAACAAACATATTTTGGATAAAGAACTGGGCTACTGTGTTTTTGCACTACACATTGGGCACCTCTGCTTTATCACTGGTTTCCCTGAATGCTCAAATAATAAACCTGGAGACAAGAACTTACCTGTACTACATAGCCAGAGATACATTTAAAATTGGCAGGCTGAGGAGCTCCATTGATGAGGACTTCTCCACTCAGACCATGGGGATCCTTTCTTGCAGCTAAAATATCAAGCAGTCTAGAAGAAAAGTCAGGGCTGCATGTTTATTTTTATTATTTTATTTAATGTTTTATTAAAACAGACTAAGGGCCAAACTAAAGACGATTCTACATAGTTTTTGTTATGTAGAAGGACTGGGGAAATCTGAATGGTCTTAGTGCTAAACAACTTAAGGAGGAAAGTTTAACTCTTGGAAGAAGTAATCCTACAGTCCCTGGAAAAACAGAATGGGTCCGGAACTGCTCTCCACAAGCCTGTTGATCAGCTGCATCTTTTTGCAGTGTCCTTGCAGAACTGCGATCCAAACACTTCAAAAGGGCCGTTTCCTTTACCTCTTGCTTGCTTGCTATGTAACTTTTAGGTGGCTCTGCAGTATCACAAACAGCACAAAAACACACAAGCCATGTGTGTGATGCAAAGATGCCACAATCAAGACCACTTTCTTTGCCTTTCACAATTAAATGCTGCATTGTCCCCAGTCTACAAAAACTCATTAAAAGTGCTCCAGAAGCAAAACTGGAGGTTCTTGACATCATATGAAGAACATCTTGACATCATATGTAGGGAATGGTGAGTGCAAGATCAAAGCCGTACATGGAAAAACTTTATATGGACCTTTGGACTGATCTAGTTCCTCTTATTTTATCTTTGGTTTGTTCCTGCACAAAAATACTACTGTGCAAAATTTAGTGGGAGGGACTGTGGCTTCGTGATAGAAACTCTGCTTTGCAGTGATAGAAACTCTGCAAAAGGCCCCTGGCTTTATCCCGGGCAAGTTCCATTTATAGCTAGAAAAAACTCCTCCTTAAAACTCTGGAAAGCCACTGCCAGTCAGAGTGAGTAGTACTGGCCTAGATGGATCTAGGCCAGGCAGTGCAAGGCATCCTCCTATCTTCCTAGGTACATTTCTCGGTAGGGCATGAAATCTGGGTTGCAAATAGAATGCGCTATACCCTCCTCCCCATAGATCTGATCTCCCTTGTCCCACATAGCTGACATTTAAAGCCTTCAAACGGGCATGCGTCATCAAGCTCTGTGTTCAACATAAACACGCAGTTTGGCTCATTGGCACCGATGCCTTGACTTAACTGAGCAGGTTCCAGTTGTGCCTCTAGGCTCTACTTGTCAAGGCTGTAACTCCTGGCCCTGTGACAGCTCCAAGTTCACCTGCACAAAGCCATTGTTCAGCCGGTCCCCCAGCTGACCATGGCTGCAGCCATTATATCATTAGGAGGAGACAAATGGTTTAGGATTTGGCTATGATGAGGCCCAATTTTTCAACCTGAAGCTGGTTCTTTGGATAAAGAATATGAATCAATGTCATTTTCATTCATTGCCACAAGACTTACGAGGATTTGCCACCACCAGTGGGCCCCAGAATTGCGTTCAGTCCTGGCCTCATTATGCCACTGCAAAAACAAGACAGGCAAGTTTCTTGTGAACTGTCACATTATGGGTACAGTATGTCCACAGGTAAAAAGCAATCATATTGCTGGTTAATATACAAGGAGGGTCCTGGGGCTGAAAGACTGAAGGTCTTAGAAAGCACAGAGCACTTCCAGCCAGGCCCTGAAGCTGCACATTGCAGGGGCTGACCAGTAAAGCTGGACAAGCTACCTTGCAGGGAAGCTCATTCAACGTCACGGAATAGCACATCTTCAAAGAACCCCAAGCCCCTGAGATCCTGAGGAGTCCCTGCTGAGCCAGTCCAAAGGACCACATGGTCCGACACCCTCTTGTTCCACCGTGGCCAGCCAAATGCCACTGGGGAGCCCACAGACAAGCCGCAGCCCGCTGCCGCAACCCATCGTTGCAGCTGGAGCTCCATGCTCGTGCTGCCTCGGAAACTGGCGGGGCAGTGCCCACTGGTGGAGCACCCTCTATGCCTGCAGAGGGTGCCCGGCTGGATCCTTGGCATCTCCAGGGAGGCCCGGAAAGCTCCTGCCAGGACAGTCATTGCCAGTCAGAGCTGGCAATGTTGGCCTGGATGGACCAGTGAACTAAGTTTCAGGCAGCTTCTTGTATTCCTAACCTGGAGGCTACATCATGAAAAGCCACTAGTGATAAACCATGTCTTTAATCCTCTTTAAATTCCCATCTAAACCAGAGACCACCATTGCCATATCTTGAGGCAGGAAGTTCCACAGATTAATTATGCATTGCATGAAGAAGTATTTCCTGTGTAAAGTTTTGCTGGTTGACCCCAGGTTCTGCCATTATAAGAGAACCTTTTCTCTCTCCACTCTCTCCAAACCATGCACAATGGCTCAACTTCTATCATGTTTCCATCATCCCCAGTGGCTTCCCTTACCTACAAACCGAAAAGCCCAAAACATTTCAGTATTTTCTTGCAAAGAAGGTGCTTTAGCTCCCTTAGTTTTTGGGTTACTCTTTTAATGCACACTTCAAAGACCATCAGATTAAAGTCAGCCCATGTGGTCTTCTCCAGATGGGGTTAAATTACTTCTGCCACCATTTCTGACTGTTGATCACAGTGGGTGGGGTTGATGGGAGTTATGGGCTCAAATATTCAGTAATTACCACATTAAGGAAGCCTAGATTAAAGTGTCATAAGATCTTCAAAGCAATAATAATTTGCAATCCATTGCTAACATTCCACAGTGCCTTATAACTGTCTTCAGCAAATGAAAAGCACCGCATACAGATGCATGACAGTGCTGGATCCACACATGCTTCCTGAAGCATTGGAGTTCATTCTGCGGTGCGCAACGTTTCATAACTGCTGTTTTCATAACACATTGTTTCAGTCTATCTAATTGCCCTTTGCTGCATATTCTACAGGGAGTAACCCTGTTGCCTTTCACACACTGAACAATATAATCAGTTAATATTTTATAGCCATGTGACACATGGATGTCATATAATGCTGAATGTCCATGACCTCACATGTCCAAGCATTGAAGGAAAATTAAATACTAAAGCAGATATTATGCAAACCCAAGAGAAAAGTCTTTCTGCCATTAGAAATTGACGTGCCGTGCTTGGGTTTTCTTCACCAGCACATACAATTGCTGGAGAGACAAGGCAGTGGCTTGTGGCTTCAGCTCTGGCTTTGCCCTAGCACAGAGAAATACAACCCTGATTCCCTCCAGGTATTTTGGAGGATACCAGTTCCTGGAATCTATGACTATTGGTGTTGTAGGCCCATGACATTTCAAAAGCATAAGATCGCTGATCCCGGTGCTGTCAGAAAGCACTTCCAGGTTCCATTTCTCAAGGATGGAGTATGATGGAGAGACGGACGAGATGGTTATCCCGTGAAGCTGGTTTGAATTTCACCCACACTGCAAACCCATTCAGTGGTTTTAGATGAGCAGCTATTCGCTTAGCCTCTGTCCCCTCCCCTGATCTGCAACATGGAGATAATAACATCAGCCTACTTTACAGAAGTGTGGTAAGGATTCCTGAGATAATACTGACAAAGCACTGCGAAGCAAAGTATTACCATATGGGAAACACACACACGGACTCAGGAATACATACCTGACATCTTTCAAAATGTCTCGCACAACTACTTTTCTACAGCCTATGAAGCCGCTTTTCATCTTCACTCTGTAGCAGATGTTGTGAAAGGTGACAGTGGCGGTTGTCTTCGGGCCCCAGGATAGTGGTTTCTGGCTTGGGGCTCCATTCGTACTGGTTTCTGATATTGGAATATTGACTTGTAGATTGTGATCCATCTTTCTGGAGGAGGTTTACTCCTGTGAACCATAAAAATAGGCGAAAAGATTCTATATACCAGTAGCAAATGTCAGGCATATAAGTCCCTCTTGACTCTTCATTAACATGTAGCACAAACAGAGCAAAGAAACTCAAATGTCACACATGGAAATAGTCTAGAGCAGAATGCAATTTGGTGCCTTCCAGATGTTTTAGACTACAGCTCCCATAATCCTTGACAATTACCCAGGTTTGTGTGAGCTGTAGTCAACCTGGAGAGCTGCAGCGAGAGGAAAAGGAGAAGGAGGCCACCAGGGAGAGATGGAGAAAAACGATCAGTACAACAAGGAACCAAAATGGTGGAAGCTAGCGCTTATTTTAATGCGATACAGAGATTCTCCACCGATCTCCCCAATCTCCACCTTCCTTTTCACTGGAAACAGTAACACTGTAAAATGACACCATTCCAATCAAACCTTTTGGTGCAGCAGATGTTTGATTTTCCCCTGAAGATGATCTCCACCTCTTGAAACTTTGGAATATGGGCAAAATGGATTTGATGAGAGAACAGGTCTTACTATTAAAATGCATTTAAATGCTTTGAAATACTTTTAGAGGTTAAATTACACTCCAGGTAAGCAAAATCATTTCCAGGGGGCCTACTTGTACAATCCACCAAATAATTTTTCTACTATTAACATTTAATGATTAACAGTTAGCTATTAACTTTTGTGCAGTCTGGGAGGTGAAATTTTGTGTTTTCCCTATTCTGTATATTCTTTTTCTTTTAAAGCCATCCAAATCACTACATAGTGTAATAACAAATTATGTCATTTAATTATGCATGGAGTGAAGAAGTCATTTCTTTTATCTGCCCTGAATCTCCCACCGATCAACTTCATGGATTGACCCCAGGTTCTAGAATTGAGCCTACATATCCAGTTTCTCCATACCATGTATAATTCTGTCAACCTCTATCGTATCTCCTTTTACTTTCCCTTTTTTCTCTAAGCTAAACAGTCCCAGATGCTGTGTGTTTTCCTCATAAGAGAGTTGCTTCATTTTGTTGTCTTTTTTTTAATTGCACCTTTTCCAACTCTACAATATTTTTTCAGGTGATCAGAACTATATGTAGCCACTATTTTTCCCCAGCTCCAGCTGATGGACTTCAGGTTCCTAGTGGAAAACAAAGACAACCTCACATTCCTAAAGCTTGCCAGACGAAAATATCTGGAACGAGTTTAAAAACCCATCACACCTCAGTTTGGAACCACACGTAACACTTCTCCCTGTAAAATATACATGAGCAGTGGGCATAGTAGAAAAAAAGTTCTTGCCTCATGATTTATTTTAAACAGACTAGCCACAATTTCTATACCCCTCTTAAGTGGCAAACTTTTGAGTTGTTAGCTATCCAGCAACATATTGGACGGGATAAAAAATACTCAAATAAAATAAACAGTATGTGTAGTACGTATTCTTCTACTCAAGTTGTAAATGTAACATAAGATACAATCCTAAGTGGAGTTTCTTACAAATGATCCTAAGACCTTTTCCTGGGAATAAGCCCCACCAGGCAGAATGGGACTGACTTGTGAGTCACTGTGCAAAGGATTTTGAAAACAAACATAGTTGCGGGTCCAGAAGAAAAATCCAAATTCCACAGATGGGCAATAGAGACGGGACTAACCAAAATGCATAAGATTGTGTTATTATGTTTGCATCCATTATTTGTGAATGGTGGTGCTGATTTGCAATAATTCCATATTTAGTTAGAATTCTATTCAATGTAATTTTTAAATTCAAAGGCAAGTAATGGGAATTCTTAAATCTAAATTACTGACATTAAATAATACTAAGGCAAACAATGCAGAAAAGGCAAAATGAACCTGGGGGCTGCTTTTTATAAAAAATGCTGGTCCTCTTTTGCATAATTTGCTAGATATACTTTAACATTTTTAAATTAACTACTCTGGAACAAAAATAATCCCCTTGTTCTTTTTTAAAAAAAACCTATAATTTAAATCTCCATCAGCTCCCAAGGAATGTTACTGAATTCCAGCTGATTTTAAAGTAATCAGTATTTGTCTGTTAAAAATAGCTACATCCTAAAGCTTACCATATGGAAATGTCAACCCTTCGAGGGATTAAGCTGGTATTAGACAATTTAAGTTGGTGTCTCTACTGGAATGGACAGGTGTAAGTCACCAAGAATTTCCTTTCATCTTGGCCCATTTTTACCCTCAATGCACCCATTTATGTTTTTCTCTTTTTACATTATTGGTGCTGGTTCCCTCCCACAGGAGTCACTGACACACTTAAAGGCTGGTTGTACATCTTCAGACAGTTTAATATGAACTCTCCTTTTTGTAAGGATCATTTTGAATATGCAAAAATCAGCAGGCCATGGTCCCACAAGTTACCGCCTTGCTATCAGCACAGAACAGCTGTGAAACCTCCCAGTTCTGCGGTTACATGTCAACAGCAGTTCTTCGTGATCCTTCACCTCTTCCTTTTTACGCACACAAGGAACCAGCATGAGGCACTTGAGCAGAAGTCCTTTGTCAACAGGAAGAACGTTCTTAGATGCTCTTGTTGGACTTACCTTGGGTGAGCTTGGTGAGTGCGGCGGCGGCAGAAGAAGAAGAGGATCTGGCCAAGGCTGGAAGCAAGACTGGTGCCCCCTGAGATAAGCCGAACGTCACAGCTGCCACCCTGGTGTGGGTAGCTTGCAGGAAGGCAAAGTCTTCCCCCGCCTGGTGCATCCAGGGGACCACGTTCTGCGACACAAAATGGGGCTTAATCCACAGAGCAGCCAGGTCCTTTCTCTCTGCCCGTTCCTCCCCCTCAGACAACTCTGAGGCAGAGCCTTGCAGAACTGACAGTTCATTCCCTCCCCTTTTCGGCCGCAATTAAGGGTGGGGTGAAAGGTCTCCTTTAGGGAGGGGCAAGCACCTAAGCGCACTTGCTCTTGGCTTTTTGTTTAATTGCTGACAGTGCCACAAGAACAACCCGATGGGACAGCATTCAGCCACACACACACACACACACCGTCCCCTCCAGTTCCCAAGCTTGGACCCTCACATGAGGGTTAAAGGTGGATAAAAGACCCAGATCCAGGCCGCTCTCTAAGCTTGGAGGCAATTTAGAACCCAGGAAATTCTAGTTGTGAAGCTGCTCACATCTGTGCAAGCTGGTAAGGTCCATGACATGGGACAGTTGGAGCTCTCTCCCCGCAGCTGTGTCACCGGAATGCCTAAATGGGTCTCATGTGTCTGGACCTTTGCTGCCGCCAAAATAGGAGTGGCGCAGAATAAGCTGCATTCTGCACAATGAGCTGCTTGCCGAAGCACAGGAGAAGAGCTCCTGTCAGAAAAGCTAGGACCGTCTTTGCCAACCTGCTGGCCTCCGGAGGTATTGGGCTGCAAGTCCCCTCATCCCCAGCCAACCCACTGACAGGGATTGATGGGAATTGCAGTCCAATACATCTGAGCGTACCAGGATGCAGAAGCCTGCCCTAGGGCATGAGGTTTGTTTGGTGTTTCCTATGCAGGGCAGGAAGACCCAAAAGAGTGGTGCTTCCCAATTATCATCATCATCTTCTTCATCATCAATAACAATAATAATATACATGCATACCTAATGGCCCGTCTGGCTATAATTAGGCAGAAAGAAACTAAGGAGCTTAAACAAAGGGTACTATAACAAGCCAAAGAACACCAGTCCTCCTGTTTTTCAAAACAAACGAGGTCTTTCTTGTCAGGTTTTCAAATCAGGCATGGATCAGGCAGGAAGCGAGAGAGCAGGTGTGGGGGGTTGTTAAGCATTTGCACCAGGCCAGGGGAAACGCTGCCCTGGCACTGGCACTTCTAACAAGCTGGGAGCGTGTGTTTTGCACATCCAGTCCCCCAACATGTCCAGTTAAAGATCTTCCTTGGAGAAAGGAGCACCTGCGCCACAGGCCTTGAAGAGTACCCCCCTGAGCTGAAGCCTTTTGCTCTCCTGTCCTCTTCCCACATCGAGGAGGAGGAGCAAAGCGAACTCAGGGCTCAGTGCCCTCCTTGAGAAGCCGGCTTTTCTGCAGCTGCTTCACTCATTTCTCCCCATCTGGGATGAGGAGAGGCGGGAAAAACCATCTCCTTGGTCCCTTTCTGCCCAGAGAATGGGGCAGAGGAAGCTACAGGTTGGGCCTCAGTGCAGGGCTGCTCCACATCTGGCCCCCTGGATTGGTTCTGACCCACCCCCGAATCAAGCCAGGTGTCCATACCTGAACAGAAAGGACCAAAGCGCTGAGCTACAGCACAACCCTCTGTGGCACAGTGGTGAGAGTGCTGAGCTGGGACTCGGGGTCCGTGTTCCACTGCCCACACAGTACTGGAGTTCTCTGGGTCACTTTAGGCCAAGCACTGACCCTTCGCCTAACCTGCCTCATAGGGTTGTTGTGAGAATACAATGGAGAGAAGAAGCACCATGTAAGCTGCTTTGGGTTCCTTGTAGGAGAAAAGGTGGGATACATATATAATAAATAAAAATAAACAAACATGGTAGGCATGTCATGAGCAGAGCCAGCTGGAGCTGGGGGTCAGTCTAGATGGCCCAGGAGGTCCCTTCTGACTCATTCTGTTTCTATGTTTGTAAACACCCTCACGTATTCTTACCCAATGCACATGTAGGTATCTTTCAGCAATAAAAAATCCTATGGGGAAAAACAACAACTATAAATGAACATTATCATTCCCAAATGTATAATTCCAAAGTGTAGCAAAGTGACTCCAGCTTTCAATAAACCTATCCTCCAGCATTTGTTTAATCTAATCATTATTGCCACATCTAAAATCCTAAAAAAAAGACAGATGAGAAGCTATACCCTTTTCCCAAAATGAAGAGATCACAATTTTTGCTGCTTTCAAAATATTCATTATGCATCCCACATCCAATGGGAAAGTTTCATTCAAAATATTCATTATTAATCCCACTTTTCTATATCGTCTTTTAAACAGTGAAGAATTCAATTCAATGCAACTTCAGACCCAGAAAAATGCCTATGTATGACTCCTGCAGCGTGCTGGAAATCACAGGCCATTTTCTGTCTAAATGTATATAGGACTGAGCCTTAAAGAGCTCTTTCATTGCGTGGGATCGTTCAAGTGTACAACCCATCCCCTCCCTGACATGGTCATCAATGGTGTACAGGACACGCCTATCATAGTTTGCAAAGTTTCATAGTTTTTAAAGATCTGTAAAACCTGTTCAACAAGAGACAAGAATGAGCTGAAATATATGAGTGTATTTGCCTGGGAAAAAAATCTATTTTCTATTATAGCACTTTCAAATCTAAAAAAAACCCTCAACAACTTATTTATTTAGGAAATTTCTATGCCGCCCCATTCGCCAAAGCCTCGGGGCAGCTCACAAACATAAATAAACTTCGTTAAAATAATATAAATTAACAGTATAAATTAAGTCGCCCTGGCCAAAGAATAAAATAAATAAATACTATTAACAGTTAAAATGACATTTGAATAAAAAGGTCTTCGCCTGGCGCCGAAAAACAAATAACGACGGCGCCAGGCAGACCTCTCTGGGGAGCGCATTCCATAGAACTTACTGTCTGTTTCCAGCCTACAGTACTTTTTAAAATACTTAAGGCTGTATCTCTGTACTCACTTACCTAGGACTTAATTCTGTGTGATGTTTTTCAGTCTGAACAAGGCTTTCTCTATCATAATCACTATGATAACATTTCATATCAGTTCATCTGGCAGTAAATTAATCCAATAACTTTAATGTAATTTGGAGTTCTATGTCAGGAGGTATTTTTGCTGAGTTAACCTGTAGTTAAGAATCACAACTTTCTGTCAGAAGTGCCCTTTCCTCCTGTTATGACTCATGGCTTTTTTCATGCCTAGGAAGCATGGCATACAGTGTTAAACATGCTCATAACCATATAATAAAATGTGATTATGCCCATTGGTACATAAACCCATTTGACCTCCTTAGATAAATGCACGAGGCAACTATGATGTTTTGTCAGATATGATACTGTTCCTTCCCTGTCAAAATATCATGAAAAATATTTGGCGTTCTGTCCAGTTGGATTATGACAAGAAGCATGTATTTCATACAGGCTGAAATGTCCTGAAAATCATTTTATTTGTATTCATTTATTTACAGCATTTCTATATTCAGGTATTTATTTTTGCATTTATATGCCATTCCCCTACTCCCAAATGGAGTCTCTGGGTGGTTCCACAAATAGATTGTGGAGTGGTCAACAGTATGAGGTTTAAACAAAAGAATAAAATTTTCCCTTTTACTTTTCTTGCACCCTTACAGCTTGGGTGGCTAAAGACTGGTAAGTATATGCATTTTCTCTGTCCTTTCAACAGATGCTTTTGCTGAACTGGGAACTTCCAATATAATGTAAGTTGCTGCAAGAGCAGAATTTAAGGCCAAAAGACAGTTATAATGAGGATGATGTCTGTACAGCTTTTATTAAGTCTGTAACATTTTTCAGGGACAGGTATATTGTTGACTTCTAGGATCCCTTCTAGGAGTTGGTCAACTCTCTTAACCAGAAAATCTCACTGAAAACATAATCTCATAGGAAGAGGAAAAAGGCAAGGAAGAGGAAAAGGTGTTAGGGGGTATCCTTTTCATGTTTATTGCTAAAAGTGCAATATAGAATTTTTTTAAATGCATACAATTTGAATTGGCCTAGTTGGAGACCCTGTGATCATCATAGTAGTCCAGAACATTAACCTTCTTCCCACATGCCCAGCTACTGCTACCTAGAATTCAAAATTCCTAATTCCCATTATAACCACTAGATGGAGACATTTTTTTAAAATCCTCTGTCGAGGAAAATTGCTGGAAGACTACTGTATACTGAGGAGATAGATGGTATAACACAATTGTCCTCTGATTTCTACCTTAACCGGGCTTCACCTTTGGCTGTCGAAGCCATCAGGCAAGCCGGATGGATGGTACAGCATTGGAATGCAGAAAGGTAAACAGTGGAGCTTATCACCTGAGAGCTGGGAATGAGCAGATGTGGCTAGTTAACTGTTTTGACTCTTAGATTTACGGTAGAGAGAGAGAAGACACGCAATCCTGCCTGAGCCAGTGCCAGTGTGAGCTCTAGCCGAGCAAGGAGGGAGACACACACCGGCCGAGAATTAGGGCTTTTTCCTTGTCATTTGCGAGGGAGGGCACCCGACGGCTAATAGAGCTTATTTGGTATCGTATTTCCTTTTTCATGATATCTCTTTACATCGTAGTGCTTGTTTTAGAATAAAATCTGTAGACTTTAATCCACCTGTGTGCACATTGCTTCTGGATCCAAAGAGATTCTTTTGCCCTTGGCAAAACATCCTCTTTAAGACAAATTGCTGCACTGGATTGTAAGTATTCAGCTGCTTCTGAATGAGGTTACTGCACTGTTTACTTTCCCAAATGTACAGGGGTCCAGACACCATTCTCTTCCATTCATATCCTGCCCATGTTTTCCCATTGCTCCTTCCAATTTTCTATTACCAGAAAAGACTGTTAGAGAAAAAAGACAGACGAGGTATACAGTGTCTTTTGATTGTTAGCACTTCAAGTCCTCTTTTTAGAAGCACCCTTTTTATTCTCTCTCCCTGACAGTCAACTGGTTTAGCACTAAACATTAAGGCCTCTTTTGAAGGATAGAAACAGGCAGAAATGGTGCTGAAAGACCAAGCTGGGCCTGCGGCAAGCTAGTCTGCTGAATTCAGGCAGCAGGGAAAACAAAGAGAAGGTGAAAAAATGTACAGAAGAAGAGATGAAAGGATGGTGGACCTCTTTGAACTAGAATCTTATGAAGAAGAGCCTGTAGTAT